GCGAACCAGGTGACGATCCCGACCGTCGATCTCAGCTACAACAGATTCTCCGGCGACATATCGCCGCTGCTATCTACCGTACAGAACCTCTACCTGAACAACAACAGGTTCACCGGCGAAGTGCCATCGAGCTTCGTGGAGCGGTTGCTGGCGGCGAGTATACAGACACTGTATCTGCAGCACAATTACCTGACGGGAATAGAGATAAGCCCGGCGGCGGAGATCCCGGTGAGCAGCTCGCTGTGTCTGCAGTACAACTGCATGGTGCCGCCAATACAGACGCCGTGTCCCTCCAAGGCCGGGCCGCAGAAGATGAGGCCCACCACGCAGTGCAACGAGTTGCGAGGGTAGTTCTGTAATTTCGACAACACCAAATCATATTTTATATATATATATATATCTATAATTTTGTCTCTCGCGAGTAGTGGCACTTTGGAAGGAAAGAAAGTTAATGATTCGTTGATTCGTTTTGTTGTAATGTCCTTTGGACATGATATAATCTGAATGAAATAAAACATCTTGGAGTGTATGATGTCCAAACCAAATGTACATATATGATGATAACCCTTTTGCATTTGTATCATGTCATATGTAATATATATACACACACACATATATACATGTATCTTATTTGACTTTACACAGTTCAGAAGATAATGGCAAATGGAAAAGATCATCACTCACTCAACTCACTCAGTAGTAGAAATGTCTCCTCCGGACCCGCTTCTTGCAGACCAAGGGCGGCTCACCGCTGCCGGGGAACTCCCATTTGACGATGTCCCCATCCCACGAGGAGCTTACCAGCATTGGCTGATGCGGGTGCCAGCTACAATCTCTTACCGGTGAGCTATGGAACCTTAACACTCCCACTTGGGCTCCACTTATCTAATATATTATTAAGTTCAGACATACCAATCCATTCCCAGATTTAAGACAATGACATGTAAGAAGACGAGCCATTCGATTTTGATAGAGAGAATTGGAGCGTTTGGCTTACCAAGTCATATATGTACACACACCCGTCGTTTGATCCTGTGTATATGTACCTCTGACCCGTACTGTTAAAAGAATGAAGTTAGAAACATATGGACCAAGTAGGTTAAGGCCTACTAAGAGAAGCTTCAGCGATTTCTGACCTATAAGAGGGTGAGAAGTAGCATCGGATGAGAGTACGCAAGACCGAGTGACCTTTATATGTCGCCACCGACTGATCATAAGGGTGCCTCATATCTTGAGCCTCGGGTGGATAGTCCATCCATCTGTAGTCCCATTCACAGTTCCTCTGCACCGTGTGGCTTCGAAAAAAAAAAATGAAAACAACGCAATCAGTTTATTCGACAAAAAAGTGGTTTGCAACAATTACAAGGATGCAGGATTCAGTTACTAGAAAGCAGACTTGATAGCATCAAAGAGACGGGGAGAGAGAAAGAGTAGAGATATACTTAGAAGGGGGGTTCGAGGACATTTTTCTAATATCCCACAACTTGATCGTCTGATCTTTGCCATTCGATATCAAATATCGGCCATCTCCTCGGCTGTCTATAAACGTAATACCTTCCAGGTGTCCCACCAGAGTTCCTGCTGGCTTCTCTGCCGCTATAAAGCAACGTCTGTCCCATACCTATCACGTACCGAATTGAACAAAATACCCTGAAAGAGCACCCGTAAAGGCAATAATTTTATGGCGTTTTTGCATAAGCTTACCTTACAGAGATTATCATCACCTCCAGAGAAAATCAGATGTCCATTTTCGTCAGCAAAGCATACAGTATTTACATCAGACTGCAGAAAAAGAGAAAAGGGTTTCAAAACGTTGAAGGGCTCTAAGACAAGTAACAAAAAACATGCATGTACACTTAACAATATGATGTCTCAGCAAAAAGAATCGATCTTTAAGAAATCATGCAGTCAAGATAAGAGTATGAAGTATATCAGATACACATAACAAGCTATCTTTACCGTGTGAGCAACAGTCCGGAGAGAAACCCTATTTGCTTCAAGATCATAAACATAAATGGATTCGTCACTGCTTCCAGCAACAAGTTCTCGTCCATCAGTAGAAAACTTCACAGAGAATATTCCAAAAGAGTACCACCCATCTTCATCAGAAGAAAAGTCCAATCCATCATGGATCTCCTGCAAAATACAATGGCCTCAAATAAGCTAATCTTGACCAAGAGATAGCAGGTAAATCTAACCTGAAACAACAGATTAAAACCTAATAAAACAAAAATATCAGATAGTGATCATGTTCTGTCTCGTGATTTACTGCTATTAATAATTATATTGCTCCATACCGTTACATTTGCATGAGATTCGCTTGTCCCAGACCCAACATCAACAATGTGGACAATAGGTGACATGCTTGAGTAAACCTGCAATGCCGAAAAAATAGATTATTGTTACAGTTGGAAGTTCATATAACCAGGAAACTACATTCCATGCTTCTTCTCTTTAGAATCATCTGAAGCCGTGCGATTTTTTTGTTTGTTTTGCATTCTACATCAAATGTAAATATGTAATTGAAGATACAAAAGAACTCACAAGTTTGCGCTGATCTGGGGATAGAGAAGTATCAGTAACTGTCCAACGCAAGCTTTTGGTCAGAATGTCCTTTTGGACTTTCCAATTATTATCTACGTTGTAAATTCGGATGTGGCTTCCCTGTAAAAAGGAATTTGACGTTCGATCAAATTGACATTCCAGCAAACAGTTCTCCACCACAAGAAACAAAGATGGAGTAGCAGCACTCCTATCTAAAATTGGCCCTTTTCATTTTTTTGTTGATGTGAGGGAAGATCCCTAGCTAATCAATCAGATCAACAAAACTTAACTTCAAATAGCAGAGAATTTATTACACTTATCACAGACTTTACAAAACCTTGAAAGGCCTTCAAACTTCAATAGCTTGAATTGCCGAGAAGATGCATATGGAGAAGGGGACCAAATTTCAACTACAAGACAGCCTGAGGCATACTGAAAACACATGACATGACTAGAGATGTATTCTACCTCTCCCTAACCCGAACACGGTATCTCAAACAACAGAATCACATACCCAACACCCATTTGTGCTGTTGATTTAAGAGTGTAAACCAGCAGATGAAGAAATACCTGGAACCCAGCAGCAAAGAGGGAACCATCAGTTGAAAATTGAGAAACATAAGCTCGGCTGGTCATCTGATCAACGAGCCAAGGACCCTTTACAGGCAAATATCTACTCAGAACATGGCAACAATCTGCGGCAGAGAACTTCCCTCTTCTGGAGTAGTTACCTTCTCGGCCAGCCAACATTTTCACAGTGGACACCGGTAACTGGTGTTTCCCGGGGGCTCGCTTGACAAACCCTTCACGAGGACTACATCTCATCTTTGTGACTTGTTTGATTTCATGGTCTACGTCTGTAAATGGATCAGACGATCTGCGACTAGTCCCAATCCCAATCCCATAAAAGTCTTTTCCAGCATCACAGAGGTTGGATTCCATCTCGAGTCTACTCATGGCATAACCCATTTCATCGACGGCAAATCCACCTGGTCCCAGAAACATTATACCTTAACACCAACCGTACAGATGATCGGTTGGTTCGCCAGACCTGCAGCAGGACGGAAGACGAATCTTCGACAGGTCAAACAACGCAAAACACATAAGTTGCAGTAATGCCAAAACAACACAGGTAAGACCCTGAGCTAGAAACCGCCCTGAAGAATCAAATAGGAAACCATTTCAAGACGCGAGTTAAACCGTCCACACATACACGCAGAGAGAAAAGGGTATAATTAAGGAGGAGGAAGACTGTGGAAGAGTAAGATTCGGCCGAAAAAGGCAAAGAACAAACCCTAATGCCACAGAATCGAAGATGATCTTAATCTGGGGAATGCGACAACTGAAGAACGCAGTGAGCATCGCCATACATAACAGTTCTCCTAATTGTCGTATGCGAAGCGCGCGAAACTCAGATGGAGGAGGAAAGCGAAAGAACCCAGAAGGCAGAAACAGCAACACAATCCCCCAAAATCAATTTTTTTTTTATTTTTGTAAATAAATTAAGAAAGATGACAGAATGAAAAGACACGTACGGACTCAAAATCGAACCGGGGAATTTTGTAGGTGAGAAAGACGAGGATGTATGGATACATTACATACATACAAATATATTATAATAAGCTTTGGTTGTGTTGTCGATGATGTTGTTGTCTTGTATTGCCACGTTCCCACTTTGTTGTACGGTCAGAACTGTAGCTTACTCAGATCAACGGCCACGATTTAAAACCACGACTCCGAACAAATATTAACACAGATTGCAACGATGATGATGATGATGATGATGATGATGATGATGATGAAGTGTATTGGGATCACATCAGATGTTATATTATTATACAAATTACAATAAATAGATTGAAACAGAAAGGAAAAGGAGAAAGGGGTCTACTCTACCAATTCTCTCTTTGTAAGCTTTTTTTTTTCGAAGTTAAAAACACCTTGAACCCCATATGAACACTGCCACAAACTTCCCAGACATACCTATAATGTAAATAAAATATATATACCACGGCCAAGATCTAGTTTCTCGGAATTCGAAACCGCGAAAATTAGGATGCATCATCAAATGTAAGCGAGTGAGTTCCGATCAAGATCAGGCTGAGGTCGCCCTCGGGTCGGGGTAGGCGGCCTCTGAATGTTCAGCTCCTGAACCATATCCATACCATACAAGAGTGTCGGATTCTTGATTCGATATTATGATGTAACAATAACAACTTTGGAGAGAGAGGGGGGAAAAGGATAGGGGAGAGGGAGGACCTGCATCCATGTATCGTCGCCCGAGCGTTCGGGAGAATTCTCGGGAGATAAAATGGGCGGCGGAAGGGGATGAATCAACTTTGGTACAATCACCAACCCTCTTCCCACCACCAATATAGCTCCTGCATTGTTTGCCGTCCCTGTTTTCAAAAACATCATCTTTAGTCTAAGTCTTATTCTATGCAATTACTGACAGAAAATAGAAAAAAATGGCAATGTTTTTGTTTTTTGTTTGGTTAAACTGTACCGCAGTAGTTTGTGGCAGAGAAAAGAGTAATGAGCTGTCCCTGTGCAAATCTTTCGAACCCATCCATTACACATTCATGCGCCCTTATAATTAGCTGTAGTTTGTTCTTCTTACAGAAATCTGTTACTCTATCCGGCTGCCATATAGGAATGACTTTGCCTCAGAATGGTGATGTTCATCCGAAATAAACATTTAACAAATTCAGGAATTAAAAAGAAAGACGTACCCCGAAAGTGACGAGACCGGGTCCTCTGGCATTTGGTCTCAAGCCCTCAATGCTATCGTTTTCTGTAGGATCAGACCTGTCCTCGGTAAAAAAAAAAAACCCACAGTTATTTCAACTTGGGAAAGTGACATGAACTTCTCAACACACAACCGGTAATGCAGAAAAAAGGAAGTATTTATTTACCATAATAAGTCCATTAGAACTATGGATCCAGCATCCATTGTAATGGGTCTCTCGATCTTTTCGATTTGTTCCACTGAACTTATCGACCTCCCAATGCCACCGTGCATGCATATAATCTTCTTTTCGATGAGTGCAGCAAGCGGAAGATGATTGAAAAGCTGATTGAATCTTGTCCATGCCCATATCCCATCATTCTCCCCCTTATTATGAATGGACCAGTTTTTAGTCCCATAACACAGACAACTGACAACAAAGAAAATGTAAAATTCTGGAAATATGACCATGTACCATTCTTTCCATGCATTCAAGACGGAAACCAAATAATGCATTGATGTCAGCAGCCTCGTGATTTCCACGAATGAGGTGGACACTCTCCGGATATTCAATCTGCATGAGAATGAATATCCGAACAATAAAATAAGAAAGAAGTAATCGAATGACACTATCCATAAGGCTCATGTTGAATCAGGCATGGTCTTGCCTTCAGTGCAAGCAGCAAAGTTATGGTCTCCAGGCTGTGTTGCCCTCGGTCAACGTAATCTCCCAAAAATAGGTAGTCGATATACCTGAAGATAAAATGTAATAGTTCAGTGTCAATTCCTAGAAAAAACTCACAATCATTTTGATTATATGTATAGCTCCTCTCCTTGAACTTACGTGATATCTCCAGCAGTAGAGGGAAATCCATATTCATCAAATAACCGCATTAAATCACCAAACTGCCCATGGAGATCTCCAAAAACTTTAATAGGAGCTCTGAGCTGAAGAACCGTCGGTTCATGCATAAATATTTGCTCAGCTGCATAACAGAGTTCTCCCACTTCGTAAGAATCCAAGAAAAACTTCCTATTGGCAGGAGGTTTCCAGTTTCGAGGTCTCAACAATGTAGAAATGACCTGCAAGCAACAGTGTAACAGTATTTATTAGTTGTCACACAATATCCAAGAAGATGTGAAGGAACGCCAAAGGAATTGTACCTTTTTATGCAATCCCACAGGAGACTTCTGTCTGGTGAATTTCTTGGTGGGCTGTGGCACGTCGCTATTATTCATGGGAACCATCCGCCTACTCTCATTCTCAAACTGATCCAAGCTTAACTGTCTTACCATCCCACCCAGGTTTCCAACTGTCTCCTTAGCAACCACAACCTAGAAAATGAGATGGTAAGGCCACAACACTTGGGCGATTAGATAGGTACTAAGTACGATACATACACTTGTGCAAAGAGTATACCCCCATTGAGAAGTCTCTTAACCTACCTTGCACTTTAGACTAGTAGATGGCTGTATGAAAACAAACATCTAAACACAAATAACAAATTACAACTAAAAAATAGATGTTTTTCAGTTAAGATGGATATTCCGAGCAGGTATTCTTTACCAAAACTAACGGACTAGTGGCATGAATAAGCAATGGTAAGATATACTACCTTCGCCTCTAGAAATTTAAGTTAAGAAAAAAAGAAAGAAAATGGCCACACACACGGAATTAGTAATTTAGCTGCCTTTACCCCTCCCTACCCAGACTGCCTCTATCTAATTATCCAAAAACAGCTAAGGAATTAGAGATGGAAACATAGTAAAAAAAATTAAAAGAAAAAAAGAAGCAACAAATGAAATATAAACATTTAACATACAGCTCTTGGATGAAGCCGGACATCTGCTCCAGTGTCACTACCATCAGAAGCTGTTTCCACAGCCGCTGAGTTGGCATCCGATTCAGAATCTTCATCGGCAGAAGTCACAGATGCTGCTTGTGCAGCTCGCCATACAGTGCTGGCTACTTCTGCTTCAGCCGCAGAAGCCTCCGTCAATTTTTCCATGGAGTTGTTGTCCATGCTGATATAGTTTAAAGAAAAAGGCAACCCAATATGTGAGAACGACTGGAATAGAATTATGTTCCCACCAAGAACCACGAGGAATGAGATAGACCTGAGGGCCCCAGAAGATCGGGTCGCTGGTTCAGAATCAGAAGAGGATCCCGTTGCGAAAGCAGTAAAACTGGAACTGTTAAACCTCGGACTAGAAACTTGTTGGGTTCTATCAGATGCTAGTATTGGAGAACTGATGTCTGACTGGAATGTAGAATTTTCTGCTACTACAAAATCATCCAGTAAAGTATCTGCATGGGAAAAAAAAATTACTGCAATGGTAAGGCGAATAGGTAAAAGATAGACGATTAATCAAATAGTTTCAGTAAACAAATGGAACTGCACCACATGATATCTCTGACTGGATAGCACTACTTTGATATGCAGAAAATAACCAAAACTATGTACTTTGATATGCAGAAACCAGAGCATTGACATATGAGCACCAACATAAACACAAAATACAAGTCGAGCGAAAAACAAAGGTAGCAGTTCCTTCAAATCTCGAGCAAGTTATTGTCAAGCTTCAGGTTTACCTCCTCTAAGACCACCATGCGCATATATGCGGATGCCAACCGAAGCAGCAGCATGACGGCAGCGTCGCATAACTTCTAAGGAGGGGTCATGATCTATTGGCCCCTTACCACCACGAGAAGACGTCACTAGCCCATTTCTATCCAACCATACTCCAGCAGCAGTATCAAGCACTAGAAAGGGAAAACCAAGATTTCATAACATAATGGAATACCAAAAAATAAGATGAAAAGGGATTCAAATTCCGTATTCTTTGTGTTATACAGTCCATAAATAGGTAGAGGACCAAAAAATCCACTTGATTAACATGTGGCAAAAGTTTTACCCCCTCTAAATACAAGTGACCACTCATGACTGTCCTCTGATGTAACTCTCAAAACCAAGCTAGTCAACCAGATAAAGTGTATAGATGTAAAGAAGATAATTGCATAGAATATTGCGAAGGTAAAAATTTAAGAGCTGTCAAATCTACCTGCAACAGCTGCTTCACTATCTATCAGGCGGCCTCCTTTTAGAACACCTCCTGTGACATGCAATCTTGCACCAACAAAAACCTGACAAAAAAGAGAATCGAATAAGGGGATTCTGTACCAGAGCCAGGATTACAAGATGATAACACACTCAAACTGAAAATGCAGTACTCTCTCGGTTCTTACCGCCTCATGTTGATATCTCGGGGAAGGAGCCACACCTGGAGCAAGAGTCCACTCCCACTGACCATTTCTATGCATTAGCAGCCCGTAAGCATCTGCGAGAGGCTGCAGAAATAAGAACATACAAGGCTGAATATGAGGAAACATATAGTAAAAAATGGTTAGAAGTTGTAAGAAGGAAGAGAAACTCCAGGATGATCAAGATTAGAACGTAAACCCTAACTTGGAAGAAAAAATACGGAATTCTGGTGGCACTTATGAATTATACCCCATTTTTTGAAGGGAAAAAAATGATTAATGAGAAATTGTACCACGCCCAAGGCATCTCTTCCACCACAAAGCAAAAACATACCATCTGAGCGAGCACTAGCAGTAGCATACCTGCAGAGAAATATCAAATATGAAAGATTTACTTGAAGAAACAAATGTTTCACAACAGACAGTTCAAATCAACTAAATCACTAACATTCTAGCACTTGGTCGGTCACCATCCGGGTTCAATTTCTGCCACACATATGGTTTTTGAGCAGTATCCAAAGCCCAAGCATCTGAAAGAACTTGTTTCCCTATTCAGCAGACAAAAGGAGCAATCTCTTTTAGTATATATGCTCCTTCGTAAATAAATAGACAATGTGAAAACTAAAAGCTTCCGTATATAAACATAAGTGCAGTACTCTTCCCTGAAATAGGAAACTTTAATCCAGATGATTAATAAATGCCAGATACGAACAGTTTCACACTACAATACAATTCTAAAGATGAATGATGAGATGTATATATGCATCATCTAAGCGAAGAACATAAAGCGCTGAACTTTTCCCATCTGGTTAGGTTTCAACTGAGAAAATTTCCTCTTCATACACTACAAATGAATTATCTAATTTCTTTAAAGAACATCGAAAACATCAGAGCTATTCAATGCACGATACCATGAACAGAAGAATAAGGCTTTCTAAAAGAAAGACTCTTAAATTTTTATGGAAGATAAATAACTACAAAAGAAAAAAAAAGAGATATTCATACCATCATTTCCGCTTACTGTCACAAGATACCTCTGGGCAACTAAATCCATAACATGGCCATAGCGAGGCCCAGGCCCCTGTCCTTGAACCACCACCCTGAATGCACATTAAATATGCAAACTATAATTCAAAAAGTGGCAAAGAAATTGATCCAACAGAAGAAGTATGTAAAGTGGCTCACCTGTGCCATTTGAATTTATCATTAGTCAAGTCGAGAACGAACAGATCATCAGTAGAATGCCCGGCAGGGCCAATGCCACCCTGCCACCAACACGATATACTCACATATCAGATCCAGTCACTCGCATATCAGATGTCAATAATCGAAATTTCATAACTGAGTCAAATAAAATTCCTCCTAAACTTGAGCTTTCATGAAAATAACAAACCAACTGATTATCTGGTCAATTATATCACCTGGAAAACTACCATGGTACCAACAGCAGCTGCAGCGTGAGCAGCCCTCGGTGAAGGAGGCTCACCAGCGGGCTTAAGCCTGCACAATACAGAAATCACGTGGAAAAGCACTATCATTACGATCTGAACTCTCGAACGAAACCAAACCCAAAAATCAGAATCTTCAGCCAAACGAGATGCTATTTTACCGTGTCCACTTCCTAGTAAGAACATCGTAAGAATGAACTGAATTGGTAACACCCGCTAACCCTAGAAGCCACAGATCAGCCACACAAAAAGCAGGATCAACAAATTCAGATCAAACCGAACATAGATCATCCAAATCAGTACAGAAACCGGAACTCCAAATGAGTTACTCACTGATCCCAGGTGTGGAGGAGTTCCCGCCCTCGATGGCGGTGGCGCCGCCGAAGAGGATGAGTCGAGGGCCGCGAGTCTTGGTGGCTGCAACCGCCGTGAGAGTATGAGCGCATCTTGGACCAGGCGCATCCTCTTCGGTATCCCAGAAGGTCTCTAGGGCTTGATACATCGGAGCTGGATGTAGCCAAGGCTTGGAGCCCATGGAGCCACTTCCCGTAGCACAAACGACGACGCAGCAAACAGCGTAAACGAACTGATGAAAGCGAATCGGGGCAAGATCAAACCGCGACGCTAAGGGAAGGAACTCCGACGGAAAGTGGATCGGCGAACCAAAGACTTGCGGCGGAGGACGGTGTCACGGTGGCGTGGCCCCACGGAGGTTTCTCTTATCCCTTGCCGGTGCTTTCTTTTTTCTTTGTATGTTTCACTTTTTTTTAATGTAATAAAATTTAAAATAAAATCGGTTACTTGGACAACGCTCTCCGCGTAGTAAAAAGTGTGGGCGCTGAGCTGCACATTAGTCCCATTCGTAGTCAACGTCTCTCACCGGTACGTGAAATGTCGGAATTGCCCCTGCTCGTTATCGTAACTAAATTAATTTTTGGTAAAATGTTTTGGGCCATTTTATATCCAACTTTGTTAAAAACTACATTGCGCCACGAAGATCTGATTCTTATATCTAAAAATTATTGAAATAAAGGCCCAAAGATATATATATATACGGTACTAAGATTTTAAGGGAATTTCAGAAATTGAATATAGAAAGAGTAATGGTTGAATTTTCCCAAGGAAGAGAGAGTCAGAATGTTGGCATCATGATCTTCTCTATTTACTCGGGGGGGGGGGGGGGGGGGGGAAAAGAGCCTAAGAATTCCACTTGTTCCATTCCATGAGACCCTCTGGACGAAACAGAGGAACCGAACACAAACAGAGGAACTCAACATCTAGAGTCAAAGTCAATGTAACGGAGACTGCAGTCTTGTCACGTCCCAAGCCACTCTCATTGTCCCAAACCTTGTCTCGGCATCTTCGAAGGTACTTCCGGCATCATCCGATGCGTACGGAAGCAGCTTCTCTCGTCCATCTGACCCGGTGGTCAGCTTGACCACATCGACCACACACACTTGCTTGCTGTCCAGACTCATTCCGTACCATTCACCTTCTGCCTTGTACACTATCCCTTTCCCAATCTCTTCTCCTGTCTCGTCCGTTAACACCACCTTCTGTCCGGGCTTCACCCCATCCCCCGACGATCTCGGGTTTTGGCTACTGCCCTTTGAAGTCGACGGTTTCTGCACATTGATTTCGTCTCCAGGGCTCTCGGGTAAGTCTCCCGAGCTATCACGTGCTGGCCCTGCTTGCTTGCTTGCCCGGGCTAGCTTAGCTTTTCGGTTGTTCAGCCTGTCGATATCGATTCACAATAAGCAAAGATCGAAACAGTGCTTCAGTGCAGAGAAGAAGAAAAAAGGCACTTACCAGTTCTTTAGCTGTGAAGAAGTGACCTCGGAACCCTGCAAAGTAACAATGGAGAGAGATTAGAAACAGGGGAACATAAGTGATAAAACCCGAATATATCGAACTGTTCGAACGGTGGGAAAAAAATACCGACATGATGGCTCAATTTATCAGCCCAAGTCTGTATCGAGGCGGAGTTTCGCTGCATATCGGGTTCATCCAGAAGTGCCCTCTCAATCATCAACATCTGCTCGTCGTTCATAATACTACGCTTCCGTTTCCTTCGTTGTTTTTCAATTGTCTGAACAGCTTCAATCTTTTCATCCTCTTTGATCCCTCCTCCCGACTCGCTCTCTTTTGAACCTTTGTTCGTTTTCAGCGGCTCGTCATCTTCGATCCGATCAACAGAACTCTTCCCTCTGGTGGAGCTCGTATCCGAACCACTGGTTTCATGAATGGCATTCCCATCTGCATCATTCTCTTTCAGCGACGGACCATTCATTTCGTTGGTGCCTTGCCCGGTTACACCTACACCCTCCGCTCGGATAGCAGAATTCTCCGACATTTCCTCATTCGGGGTACTGTTTCCGTTGTTTAGATTCAGAGAATCTTTTCTCTGTTTAACCGACGAAACGCCACCCCCTGTACTTTGAGTTTCCTATAAGAAGAAATCATCATTATTTGCAATTAGAGAAATACTAAACTATTCACGAAGAGCGAATTCCTAAATTCCAGAAAGAAAAAAAACGATTAGCGATCAATTGTGGAGGAAAAAAAACTCGATAAGCAAAAAAAAGGTGAAAACTTTCAACCTGAACTTGACTTTCCTCAAACTCGGAACGGATCAGCGGCTGCAACTGGTCAACGAACGCCCTTCATGAAAACAGAATCAACGGATTATAGATTTAGTTGTCAAGGAAAAAACTCGATAACCAAAAACGAAATCCAGTTCGTTAAAACTCCTAACGACATATTCAGAAACTATACGATATTCGATAATGACACTCGGTCTTACATATCAGATTTCAAGATTGAATTTTTTTAAGTCACCTCAAAAGCAGTAAATCTTCCTCGCTCGAGAAATTAGGGATCAACGACTCTGCGTGACTCAACAAAGAACCTGCAACAATGATGATCCATCATACGAGAAACGTGAAAACACCTTTTTTTTTAAATTAAAAACAAAACGAAAAAAAAAGCGGGAAAAAGATACCGTACGTAAGTTTCTGCAAACACGCACACTTCTCTGTGGAACCAAAGTATATGAGAATCCCGGTAATATACTCGAAAGATCCCCCTGGAGACCGCTTACGATATTATGAACGAAACGGTTCCTTTCCCTTTCTGTGGAATTAACAGCTAGAAAACAGTAACCAACATGGCATTGCCAAACCATATGAGATGGGAAAGTGAATCAAATATCGGGAAAAAGAAAAGAAAGAACTCACCTTCGCAAATGCTCGGAACAAAGCAGTGCAGATTCGCAATCATTTTGATAAATAAGGATGTCCTCTGATGTGCATAATATGACATGGGAAGGTTATTTGGCAGCAAATGAAGCTTGAACAGATTTTCATTCGATTGCTCTGATGATGAAAACAAATCCAAGATCCATCCAGCCGAAGTAAATAGATCGTAATCTAGCGTTGCTTCATCTTCCCTCGAAGGAAGATCGGAAGAGCACCACATCGCCAAGAAATCTCCGTGAGAAAGGGAAAATATTGCGCTGAGAATTTCGCTCTGCGAAGAAAAAAATATATAAAGATGGCAATGAGATGCAGAGGTAGCAAGCCTGCAATCTTTTCTACATCAACCTGAAATAAACAAACCAGTCTATTAGAAATAAAAAAAATAACAAAAAAGGAAAAACTGGTGGCAAACAGCATTGGATATGACAAATGAATTTGCCATACCTTCACTTGTACACCTTTTTGGACGCGTAAGGAAATACATAAATCTTCGTTCTCTTTCAGTAACTTATGAGGAAGAGCACCACATCGCCAAGAAATCTCCGTGAGAAAGGGAAAATATTGCGCTGAGAATTTCGCTCTGCGAAGAAAAAAATATATAAAGATGGACAAAGAACGATCAAACGCGCTAAAAAATCCAGGAATGTTGTTAAAACAATCAGAGTGCAATCGACACTTACATAGTGCTGAGTGAAAAAAGATCGGAAATTCGAGTCGTCGGTTAAGATGTCAGCTAAACGCATTGCGTTAAGTAGCACGAACCCCATCGGGTAGACGGAAGAACCATTGAAACCCTTGGAAGCTTTGGAAAAGCCAAGCCTCAATAATTCAAGAACCTATAATCACATATACAGCGTCAATGTTTAGATCAGCCGAGAAATGATGAACACAAAATAAAGGAAGCGAAATTCTAAGCAAATTGGAACAATTATGTTAAATTCAATTCAACAAGGAGTTGATATGATGTTATAAGGTGTCAGATATAGTCATACTCTCAATCTGTATGGACCGTTCATAAGAACTGGCATCAAACTTAGATCCCGACCAGTGATAAGTATTTCAATCAAACATAGAAAAAAGTGTTTCTAAAATTAAACATAATCTGTAATGTAATGGGACTAACCTTTGTGACGACGGACTTAGCCAAATGCAAGTTTCCTGCACGTGCAACCTCGTCGAGGAATGATACACTTTCTGCTTCGAACAAAAGATGCAACTGCACGAACAGAAATTTTTCAATCGATTGTAGAGACAATAGCTGTAATTTTATTCAAGAAACATTAGGGGGTGAAGACAACTTACCATTGCCAGGACCTTTGCTTTCATTCTAGAGAGGGAAGCAATCGTAATTGACGCTCCAACTAACTCAGGTGCAATAGTTAGCGATAATATGGAATGAGATAGCATAAGAACACCACCATTTCCACATAGCTCCTAATAGAACCGTTAAAAGGAAGAAAAAAAATCTCTGAAGCGTTTCAAGAACACCATTCTTTATAACATCATGTGTTAACAACCACTCTTGAGTAAACTTCTAGCAAAGAAATTAATAAGTACAGAGAGAAACCTCATTTCTGGCGAGGCGATCTCTAAACGGTTTTTGTTGGCACAGAGAATGAAGGAACTGCAAAGCAGCTTCCGCTTGTTGGCAGTGAAAGTTAACATCTTCTTGGCAAGAGATTCCTGATTTACTCAGAAGGCCGGTTTGCCGCGTTAGCAGCTTCTTCCTGAGAGATCTCACAACATTGTGAACTGCTCCAAAAGCAGCATCCATAAACACATCAACCTAAGACAAATTAGAACAAACACGTGAATAAATCAATCTTCTAAGAAGCAGAACCCAATACATCAGAAGCTCCATTAATGCAACCAAAATTATGGGCACAGCACCAAAGATATGCCATTGCACTGGCATATTTATACAATCTCCACAAATTGCAAAGGGTCCCCTCAAGAACTAAGAGATGTTACACACGTGATAGAAATGGAATGACTGAGAAATGCGAGAAGTTCATCCTCATTGATCCTTCCCATAATTCCAATCTCAAACAAGTTGCCCAAGATTGTACCTGAGGGTGGGCAAGCAACACTTGAACAAGATCTTGCCACTGTGAAGAAATAAACCCATGCAACAGGTAAAGACAAGAAGCCACCAGTGTCGTTTGGACCAATGATTGGCCATCTGAATTGCAGGTTGCCTGAAAAAAAAAAAGAACTGTGGTGAATAACAACTAAGGAGACAGAAGGACGGACACAGAGAGGATTTTTGGAGAGAACCTGTTCATTACCGCCAAGAACTATTAACAAATAGAACACCAGATCAATCATCTGCTCTGATAATTTCACATCATCAAGTAAGACCTATATCAAGATTTGGCAGGAAGATTGCGTTAAAAGCAAATGTGTTCAAATAAGATACTGGCAGTCTATATAGGATGTGTGCTAAAGGTCAGACATTTTATAACAAAAGAAAGGAAAGTGAATCATCAACCCTCATCCATGAATCACTGAACAGTCCACAAAAGTTGGCCAAATCAGAATGTGACAATACAAAAAGAAAAACATATCGGAATTGCTTGAGGGCACCTGCTCGAGTTTGGTGAAACGAGGTGCTAAGTCACATAATGTGTGCAAAAGCCGGATCCCGGACAATAAGTATCTCAACGTCTCTCCATCTCTGTCAGAAGACACAAGCACTGCAATGAGATGCAGAGGTAGCAAGCCTGCAATCTTTTCTACATCAACCTGAAATAAACAAACCAGTCTATTAGAAATAAAAAAAATAACAAAAAAGGAAAAACTGGTGGCAAACAGCATTGGATATGACAAATGAATTTGCCATACCTTCACTTGTACACCTTTTTGGACGCGTAAGGAAATACATAAATCTTCGTTCTCTTTCAGTAACTTATGAAGCTCTTGAGAGCTTCGTCTATGTAACTCTTCCACAGCCGAAATCAAGTCTATAACCTGTCCATATAATTCGACAGCCAAATCAAGTTACAAGCAGCACTGAACTAGTATCCAGTTGAAAAAAAAACCATAAATTACAATACTAAGATCTTAAGCAATTGATCAAGGAGCATGACCAAACGATTCACACCATGGCCAAAGTATGAGCACTTACTGATTCAGCTGCCTGTGATGACTCTTCTCTAGAAAGTCTCATTGGTACAGAACCTAAAGCAAAATCCGACAAAGCTAAAGCCATAAACAATGGCAATTAGATCATAATCTTGAAATAACTTGACAACTCAACGTCTTGGATACACTGAACCCTAAAATTTCCATCAAAAAGCTTTTGTGATATCTTCTGCTAGTGCTCCTTACCTGTCCTTTTCTACATTTTTCAGACCCAAAAACCCAAAACACGACTTGTCCAGAAACAAAAAGGACTCCTACCTACCTCGCATTGCTACTAAATCCTCTACAAGTTCCATTACAAGAAAAGCCCAAAAATTTCTAAAATAGCCATTCACTTCTAAATTGAAATGACCATAGACACTGTAGACAAACTTTAACATCAACCTAACATTAAAGCAGACACTATGCATGAACCGTGAGGAAAAAAATATTCAAGGGTGAAAAAGAGAGTAAAATTTGCATGCCAATTTCAGGCACGACCACCGCGAGAAAACACCCCAAAAAACAGAACCTTTCATCACCACACAGACAACCCACAGAAATTAAACCCAGATTTCAAGCAAACCAGAGGAAAATCGAGCATTGAAACCCTAGAACAGCCAGTGAATATCCCATCAGACACTCCGTAAACGGTATCAAACATTTCAAAAACTTCCAGACAGGAAAAAAAAAGGGAAAAAAGGAAAGAACTTTCGACAAAATACAGCGTACCCACGTTCGGATTGAAGGAGAAAACTAACCGGCAAAGAGTATATGGACGTGAACGACAAACCGAGAGATTATCACTCCGCGGGTTTTCGTTTCAGTCTGGATTTATGTGATCCGTTTGTGGGTCTTTTTTTTTCACTCCTTTTTTTTCTTGGCGTTAATAGACGAACTGGGACCGACCAATGAAGATGACCGGAGGGGGCCCCAGACAAAAGGCTTTCCAGTTCTTCAAATCCCAACCAAAGCGCTGAAAGAGGTGAACAAAAAAAAATCAAGAAAAAAAAAAACCTCGAGTACTAAGGCAGTAGCCGATGATGGAGATGCCTTTTCAAAATGCGATTTCATTTCCACAAAAGAGAATTTCAAAGAGACAGAGAGTATAGTTTGTACCTGAAAATCGAAGAGAGAGAGAGAGTTCTTGTCTTCTTCGAGTTGATATAATACAGTCTTTCAAGTGGTTTTGCGTTTTAATAGACAAGATTTTCGATTCTTAACCCTAATATTCTTTTTTTTTTTGTTGGAACAAGGCCGCCTCCTTAATTGGCCAAAAAAAACATAACAAAATAATAAAATAAACATATTTTTACAAACAGCGAATCTGCCGTTTTATTTCATAATTACTCACGAGAGGGTTGCATAAATTATATCGCCATGTTTGGAACTTTTTAAGAAATTAATATTTTATTAAACAACTCCAAAGAGATTCCACCTTTTTTGTCTCTAAAGATATACATATTTTTTTTTTGTAATATAACTATGAAGATTAACCAAAGACCCTTCGTCTTTTTTACATTAGAAATAAAAAAGGAAAGTGAGTCAAAAATAATTTCCGAGATTAGACGTTGAAAAATTACACTTATCTGTTGGAAAAGGGAGTGGCATTATCGTGGATTTGTGAAAAACGGAGGATATAACAGTAAATAGAGAAAAGAGATAGAGATAACTAAATATAGAATTTGAAACGAGTGGCCGTTTGAAATCCAAATGAGAAGGAAACCTTTCCAGACAATTTCAAAATCACTTCTTCTCAGACACTGTCCAAAGCTTTCGTCTTTGTCTGGTTAGATTCTCCAGAGATAGAAGACGATGACAGGTCTTGCGATGGCGGCAAAGGGAGGGAGAGAAGGAAAGGAAACCTCGTCGGAGGATGAGCAGAACCAGCAGCAACTGTCGGTGCTTGAGTTTCTGTTGTCGGCGCTCCGGAGATCGATGGTGTCGTGTCGGGTGGACAGCCGACAAGATGACGGCCAAGGGACCTGTCATCGACTGGACATCGGACGGCCGACGAACGTCCGGCACATCACCCACGTGACCTTCGACCGATTCCACGGATTTCTGGGCCTCCCACTCGAGCTCCAGGTCGAGATCCCTTGTCGGGTCCCAAGTGCAAGGTAGTTCTAGTCACAGTACTCTGAAATGTTTGAGTAACTAGTTCTTCGTCTTCTGCGATATCAAGGATCTCCATTTGTAATTATCTTAGCAGAATCTAAGAATGTTTCCTTGGCAAAAATGGGAAACAGAAGTATGTTTACCTCAATGTTGTAAGTTCCTAAACTGAGAGTTTCTGATTATGCAGTGTGAGTGTCTATGGTGTGTCGGCGGAATCAATGCAGTGTTCTTATGATCAGAAAGGAAACAGCATTCCGACGATTCTGCTGCTAATGCAGGAAAGGCTGTATTCCCATGGAGGTCTCAAGGTAATATACGAGTTTCCATCCAGTTCAAGTGAATCTTCTTCCCCCATAACCGGCGGATGGGTCTGATTGGTTATTTCTATGGATAGGCTGAAGGAATTTTCCGGATAAATCCGGAGAACGGGCAAGAAGAGCATGTCAGAGGCCAACTGAACAGAGGTATCGTTCCTGAAAACGTCGATGTACATTGTCTGGCCGGTCTTATAAAAGCCTGGTTCAGAGAGCTACCTTCTGGAGTTCTCGACGGGCTTTCTCCTGAACAAGTTCTGAACTGCAACACCGAAGAAGAATCCGTTGAGCTTATAAAGCAGTTGAAACCAATGGAGTCTGCTTTGCTCAATTGGGCTATTGATCTTATGGCCGACGTTGTTGAGGAAGAAGACTCAAACAAAATGAATGCGAGGAACATAGCCATGGTTTTTGCTCCTAACATGACTCAGGTATTTGATAAGATATACAAGTCCTACATTCAGTATTTGTTGATTTTTTACCGAGTTTTTGTTCTTTACCTTCTTCAATCTTGGTTCAGGTGACAGATCCATTGACGGCTCTGATGCATGCTGTCCAAGTGATGAACTTGCTTAAGACCCTCATCATGAAAACGCTAGCAGAGCGAGACGAGGCGGCAACTGCATCAGTTGGATATTCTCCATCGCATTCTTCTCTTTCCCAGACAGATGACGAATCCGACCATCCCCAGGACATGGATGTCAGCTGTGAGTCACAAGGGATGGATTCAGAATCTGGAGGTGAAGAAGAAAATCTCATCCAGTCAATCGATCAAGACAGGGATGATGTTGAGTCAGAGTCACTAAGTGCGATAGAGAAATGCTTCTTGAGGAAGCTCAACGATGATAGAATCTCAAACGACGGTATCTGCCAAGACTGGATCCCGAACCGTTCATGTGAAGTATCTTGAACTGTGAAGTATCAAAGGGCTTAGCCCACTTACGGTAGCATTTTGCTCTTTTCCCACGTGTGTCCAGACACAACCTGTTCGTAGCTCCATTGCCTGAAGGATCAAAACAAGAAGAAGAATGAAAAAATGGTTCTGCCTGTAAATCATTACAGAGATTAGGTTCGGTTTGTTAAGAGTGGGAAGGCAAAGTCAGTGGTTTGTTGGCTCCATAACATTGTTGTTTGTAGCGTTTGTCGTTTGATGTGTAAGCAGATCTCTAACCTTCATGAATGAATTTGGTGACCGATCTCTAGGTTTGCCCTGAAAAATCTTTGTTAAAGATGCAAACTCTATGCCCATCGGTTCAAGTGAAAGAATGCAAAAGTTGAATGAACATGTTTGACAACTTCACAGGTTGGAGGAAATGATAATGGACTGGAAGAGCAGTGGAAGGAAAAAGCAGGAGAAAAGAATAAATGAATTTAATGGTAATAACCATAAAAGTGTCTACAAGAATTTCAATGATACACAAAATACAATGTGTATTGGCACAAAATTAAAAGTTAAGGAGAGAAGAAAAGATCCAGTTGCAGCATGGAGTTACAGCTTTCCTGCAAGGGGCTGCGTTTTACTTCTAAATGGGGTCGAACAGTTAGCCTGGTACCCCCGTGGATTTTTACAATGAAGATGGTTCGGGATTTAGGGCTTACGGGTTTATTAACAAGGGTTTACTCTGTTGTTGTTGTTGTTGTCTCTCTTAAGCTGAACTTTCAATTTCTTACCGCCTAATGGGTGGCCGTTCATCATGTTAATGGCGTTTTGAGCAGCTGCTTGCGAATCATAACTTACAAAGCCTGTTTCATCGAGAAGTTTTTTTTCCATCATTTTAAGCACTACAATGATTAATCACCCCTCTAGAAAACAAATGTGGCAAGGAAAGAGTAGAGCTTACCGAAACATTTGCTTATGCCAGTGTCCTTGTCCACAAAAACTTTTGCGCTCAGAACCCTACCAAACGGTTGAAATGTGCTAGCTAGCTCTTGATCTCCATATTCTCGAGGTATGTTGTAGATAAATAGATTTGCACCAGCCGGTCCTGAACACCAAAGACATTACAGAACAGAATGATACCAGGGTTACGAATATGAACAGAGCAATGGAACCTTGATTAGTTTCCAAGGCTGGGCAAGAAGCAGATATTGTCAACTGTGTTGACCAACCTTCAGCTTGAGCCCCAGAAGACGTTGACGAGCTAGCGCCTGAAGATGTCAATGAGCCACTATTAGCAATGGCAGGTGATACAGATCCAGATGAAGTGTTGAGAGGATGAGGATTCATCATACCTCGAGGATATGACAATGGATAGTGAAGACTTGGTACAGTAGGATAGCCAGAGCCAATGTAATTTGCAGGAGGCATTGGAAAGTTTATACGGGCCAAACGGGGTGGGACAGATTCAGATGAGACTCCTCGCAATGGGCTATTACCTGGGTTTGGTGAAATCATATTGTGAAAGGAAGCTTGATTCTGCAATGATGGTAGCATGTACCCATAAGTTCCAGGACCCTGTCAAAGTAAGATATATTAAAAGGCGCAACCAGTAATGTAGCTTGAGTAGAACACGTAAGAGGGAAAACTAGACTTACATGGTATCCATATCCATTGTAATGGGGAACAAAACTCATTGGTAATGCTCCAAACAATGACGGATTTTGTGGGTCGGCACTAGCTAGTCTTGAGGCCTGTGATTGTACCTTCTGAAATCTCCTTGCTTCTTTTTCCCTTTCTGTATCTGCCCATTTGACAACTAAAGGAAATTTCGAACCCTGAACAAACAACGAAAATGATGACAACAGCTGCATCTTGTCAATCCAAAGAAGTTTCGGTGTAAAAGAAAATCTGGATTAGCAACCACAAACCTCCATTTTATGCTTTCCGTTGATGATTTCCATGGCAGCAACAGCTTGTTCTTTTCTCTCATACTTCAGAAAAGCACAGCCTAATATAAAATTATAAATCAAACTTGGTGAAGCAAGCTTAAGGTGCACAATCAAATGACAACCATTTAAGACCACGTTAGCCAAAGGTCTGACCAAGAGATGATACCCTTGCTGGTTTGTAGAGAACCTCTTAGAATTTGTAGATCCTTTATGGTCCCGTATTTGGAGAATAAGGATAGAACTTCAGCTTCGGAGACATTCTTTGGAAGCATACCGATAAAAAGTTTGTTCTCTGAATTGGAGGACAAAAAAGAACATCCGTCAGAACATGGTACATAATAGAAAAGGATTAGGAAAGTAAAAGAAGGGACTTTTTCCAAAGGGATATCTTTTCCGAAGATTATCGCTTAGAAGCATTGAAAACAAGGAAAAAAAACACACATAGCTTACCTAGCCTCTCTAACTCGCCATCTGCGTACTTTACTTGCAAAGGACTAGAAGCCTATCCATACAGAAAAGGCAGTGGAAACTTTAATTAGAATAATAAATAAGTGTAAACCTGCATAATATCCATAAACTTTCCGACAAAGACAGAAAAAGATAGAAATAATACAAATAAATAAAGTAAATGCATTCATGGTAATAATGATAGATCACCCTAACAACTAACTGAGGGTTCGAAGAACTCCGCATCTTAGCCCCTTCAAAGGTTTCCAAAAGTCTCAGTTACCTAGCTTCAAACCAGCTAGAACTCTCCACTACCCCAGTAGTACAAACTTAAGTTTATTGAAGGAACTTTTTCCACAACCTTATTCGCCAATTGCTTATTACCTTTTTAAGATCAGGACATGGGACAACAAAAGCATTCCCCTACAAAGCTTCCCCAGATTGGGAAACACAGAATTCACCTGGTCAACTGTACATGACAATGCTGCATTTTGTTACTGTTGCTATCGGTTGCATCATAAATTGTCCTTGCCATATATCAAGATTAATCAGGATCTCATCTCACAAAAAGGGTTCAATCACAATTTCTACTAGCAATTGGCAGCAATAACCAATTGGGTAGGCCTGCCGAGGACGCATGGCTTTGATTTCTGACAAGCAAAAGGATGAAACCAAGTCTTCTCTCATTTTATCGGAGTCTCTTGATTCCATTCCAGCTGATGCATCGATCCCGTTTTGTGACCCGTATAAGTCAATCATAATGAACCACATGCTGCATGATTGCAGTTGCTTGTGTTTTAAGAAATCATGTAAAAGCCATCTCATCACTGTGATAGGATTCTAACAAGCGATACTCAGACTACCGGCTTTTGATCCCATAAATAAATTTCATAATTCACCTAAATAGCAAAAGGTTGCTCCTTGGAATTGACATGCATGAATTCCCAAATTGCCTTTTCTGGGATCAACAATAACTGAAGACAGTACAATGCAGTTCGAGCAAATGAAGATGGAGAAAGAGAAAGAGAAAAAGCAATATCGAGATCCGAACCGGCTTAAAAATGTGCGGCGGAGATCAATCATTTAAGCAACAGAACATCAGATTCAAGCATCAGAAATCCTCAGAAAATGAAGCATAACCTCAAAAAGATGAGAGAAAGCAAGAAATCAAACTAACCCCCGGCAAAGTCTTCTTGTTATGACAAGCATTGACCGCCTTGTCCGCCTCCTCCCTCGACGGACATGTAATAAAACAGCATCCTGGGATTACAAACAAGAGATTGCATAAATTAGGGTTCCGGAATTCGAAAAATCTCGACGAGTCACGCGAATCAACCCCGCATTCAGAACATAACCGGAGAAAACTTCAATTTAAACGTCAAAAACGGGGATACGGAGGAGACAGAGAAAGATTCCGCGAGGAAGGGACAAGGAGACACGGAGAACAACCTCGGGATGCACGAGTTATCTTGTGCTTGATGATGTTGACCTCGTCAACGATGACGAACTCCTGGAAAAATGCCAGAAGCTGAGCCTCCGACAATTGCTTCGGAACTTGTCCGACGAATAGCTTCACGCTCTCCTCGCTCTTCCTATTATTATCCATCGTCTCCTCCGCCATTGTTGTCTCCGTCTTCGCTCTCTCTCTCTCTCCTGACGAAATGGCTGTCTCTCTTTTTCTCTCTCTTCTTTCTTCGTTGTCTTCTCCTCGTCGCCTCTTTTCTCTCTAGGATTCTCTCTCTCTACAGTTTTCTTTCAGAATATTTGTTTTCAAAATTAAAATAAAAAATTCAAAAAAATAATTATGGAGGAGGGGAAGAAAATGGGGGAATTTCTGGATGGATTAAAATAAGTACTTACGAAACCAGGCTTGCCTTTGCCACTAATTTACGAGATTACCATTACAGCTGTACACGACACCAAGAGAGACGAATGCGAAGCGAGGGTGAATTACTTGGCTTTGTTTCGTCTCACTAAAGGATTTGTTAATGACGAATGACCGAATTACCCTTTACCTTTACCCTTGTTGTGTAGTCTTTTTCTTCCTTTTTTTTAATTAAGAATTAATGATGGATTAATTTCTATTCTGGAAACATATTTTACAGATTATTTTATTTAAAGGGCCCATGTTTGTTTGTTTGTTTTTCTTAATCACCTCTAATGATACTTCAAAATTATTCTTGTTTTGTTTTTTTCTTGTATACATACATATAATTTCTTATTTAAGATTGTCATTATCTCATTTTTTAACAAATACTCTTAAAATGATTTTTTGTATTTTTTTTTCAATTTTTTGTTGCTTTTTTCCGGTTTTATTTTTTTTTTGTATGATTTTAATCACAAAATAGGTCTGTCGTCGAATAAGCTCTTCATCTTATCCTAATCTCACACAAATATTTTTTTTTTTTTGGTTAATATCTCACACAAGTATTATTTGTGCCATTGAAGAATGTTGAAATTTAGTCATTCGAAATGAAATTACGATTAAAGTAGATTTGGTATAATATGTCGATGGTCATGATGAGGACATCATTTGATTATAAGAACTAAATCTCATCACGTACACACACACACACACACAAAAAAGAGCAAAAGTCTTGTATACTGGACGAGTTGATAATATAATATTTTAAAAAAAATATATGGTTGACTGCATTTTCAAGAAAAAATAATATATACTTTAAACTATTATTCAAAGTATTAGTGTTTACCACTCAATATAAATTAGAGAGATAAGGAGAATAATTAATAATTTAATTAGTTGGTACGTAAAGAGATATTTAAGAGTTGACCATGTCAATTTGATATGATACGAAGAGGGTTTAATTAATATGAGATATTTACGAGTTGACCACGTCAATTGATGTGGTACCAAGTGAGAAGTTTAAGGGCAAAAAAACCGTAAATAATGGTAAAAGGCAGGGCAAAATGTACGAATGCTAGACTGTACTCCCCCGGACACATCTGGATTATTCAAAGTGATACCGTATCATATGAGCCAGACCCATACTTACATTTGACATTATATATATATATGGGTGTAAGTACGCATTGACATCCATATAGAAATCCCCATCCAAATCACCTATAGCCCTTTTTTAATCTAATACTACATTGGCTTATTTCATTTTATAGGAAAAAAAAAATAACAATTTTTGAATACAAGTTGTCTTCAGTAGCAGCACAGTTGGAACAAAAGCTTGAGGACAAAACAAAGATGCAAACTGATCATAATAAACACATGGTATTAGTAGCACTGGTCGGGAAGATGAACTCGATAGAACATGAGCACCCACAGATAACCACTCGTTCCAGTTCTTAACATCCGTCAGATAACCCAAACAAAACACCAACAACAGATCCTGACCGTCCGACGATTGGAGGAACATGAGAGAATCCCCAAAGAGGATTTTTTTTTTTGGAAATTTCACCGGAGAGATGCCAAGATATGGATTGTTTTTTTTCAAGAACGGAGAGATTCATCGTTTAATTTGGTGTTTTAATGCAATTCATTTTTCGAACCTTTTTTTTTTTATATTGCAGGTATTGGTGAATCTCCCTTGTTAGCTTGCATGTGTGTAGTTAGCAGTTACCTGAATGCTCACAAGTCAAAACTTTTCCAAAGCTTTAGCAGTGTTTGGCTTCTCTTCTCTGATCCGTCTAAGTAAATTCCACGGGAAGAAATGTGGAACATGGGATGAGAATGATGCCGCAGCTTCTCTTCATACATGTAGGCGTTGCATCTGCAGAAATCTAGCATAGGTGGAAGAGTCGATGCCTGCAAACAAGCAAATGGAAACAAACAAGTCTCGATTCATCTTATTCTTGGTTTATTGAATTAAAGATCTTCCCTTTGTGCCGGAGTTACTAAAATGAAAGACCAAACCTGGTATATTCCAGTTTCTGAATCACGATCCCATTCAGCACGAGCTCTGGCGTGTAGATTGCTGCTCCTGCAGACATGAGCTAAACATTCAGAATTTGATGCCCTTTTCGCTTTCTAACTACCTAGGCTCAGTCAGCTACCTTGATTATGAAAAGGAAAACAGATTCCTCGATCTTCTTCGCATGACAGAATCAACAGATTATTATCCAGAAGTTCTCCATCGTTTGTCTGACTTATCTCCACAACCTGACAATGGATTTCAATCCAACCATCAAAAGGGCTGGACAAAACAGATTCGAAACAAGTACGCCTGAAGTAAAATGATTCTTACCTGACCATGACTTGCCTTTACCAAGTCAGTGATAATATCTCTGTCGGGTTTAACGTTCGGTGTGATGCAGACTTTCACGCCCTGGAGTATCTTTGCAAATATGTGAAACAAGGGAAATGAAGCTTCAATGGAAGGCAGAGAAGAGAATGAGAAAGACAGCGACCTCAAGAAGTGGACTTTGCCTCACGTGGGCCAGTGATGTCGGCATGCAGAAACCAATCTCCTTCTCCTTTTTATCATCTCTTAAAATGTAACTCTTCTCATCTATCAAGCATCTTGCCTGTCCACAGCTCTCCAGCCATAGATGTGTAACAACCGGTTTACCGAGAGTCATGGCTTCTAACATATTCCTCGTCCTAGCAAATCTATCAGCTATGAAATGTGTTGCATCTGATGAGGTAGATGCCAAAGAAATGCCCAGTCGAACCATGATCTATGGAAGAAAGACGAGATTTTTATCTGTCCATGTGATGCATATATATTTACAATGCTGAGAGTAATGAGAGAGGACAAGGACCTTCTGCTGCTGCTTGATTGTATCATCGTCCAGATGTTGGCTGAACAACACTCGAACGTGTCCCAGGTTTCTTCGGTTTCTTAAATCTTTCCACTTCACTTCAGCTGCTTTACCCGATGCTCCAAGCCTCGCAAGCTCCTTCAGAAGGGATGATGACCTTGGCAAATTTTTAACACAAGGTCTTTTGTGACCTCGGCCATGTGTTCTCCTTGAAGATGCAATTTTCGAGACATTCACATTGTTATCAACAACAGCTGATGGGGCACAAGAGGTTTGTCTTTTGTCACTCGATGGTACCCCTAACTCTCTTGCAGAAGTAGCAATTCTGTCCAGCTTAACAGATTTACTGGCCAATACCGTAGTATGCACCGTTGTAACAGAGCTAACACAACAAGGCTTACTAGCTGAACCGTGATTCCTTTGCATAGGCCGTGATCTCTTTCCCGTGGGATGCTTCCATTCATCTAAGCTGAGAAGATATTTTACGGTAGAAACCTTTGAGCCGGTATTTTCTGTTTCCTCATTACTATGCTCAATAAGCTTAACAGAGCTCTTGCAGGAACCTTTAATTGCATGGCTAGAGGTTGCCCTATACAACTTTTCTGTAATTGACTTTTCTGTAAGCTTAACAGAGCTTTTTTTGGCTTTTGCTCTCCTCTTAACTCCTTTGCTCGTGGCCCATCCAGCAGCCAACTCCAAATGATTGTTGTTACAAGCAGATGATGATACAAGACTTTCTCCACTGTATCCATTGGAACTTGGATTTTCTTTGTTTGGCTTTTTAGCAACACCTTCTGCATTTTTCCGGTGGCTTTCCCTTGGGATGCTTCCATTCATCTAAGCTGAGAAGATATTTTACGGTAGAAACCTTTGAGCCGGTATTTTCTGTTTCCTCATTACTATGCTCAATAAGCTTAACAGAGCTCTTGCAGGAACCTTTAATTGCATGGCTAGAGGTTGCCCTATACAACTTTTCTGTAATTGACTTTTCTGTAAGCTTAACAGAGCTTTTTTTGGCTTTTGCTCTCCTCTTAACTCCTTTGCTCGTGGCCCATCCAGCAGCCAACTCCAAATGATTGTTGTTACAAGCAGATGATGATACAAGACTTTCTCCACTGTATCCATTGGAACTTGGATTTTCTTTGTTTGGCTTTTTAGCAACACCTTCTGCATTTTTCCGGTGGTTTTCATGAAATGACAAAGGGTCCGAGTCACAAGTGTTTTCTCTGTTGCAAAAGACAGGAGCAGCATATAATAAGGCTCCCATTGCTTCAGCAGCTATTTGAGTGTTTATACCAGCATCAAACAAGTCTTCTACAGGTTCTGATACCTGCAACTGCACATCCATCTGCGTGATAAACATATTTTCTGGGCTCGTCCCAGATGTTTGTTCTGTCCTGTGATTTTCTGCAGATATGCCCTTGAATGACCTTGGCGTGGGGTGAGTTGAGTCTTTTACATCCTCATTTAGATCAATAGACCATTTCTTCTCTCCAGGATCGTTATCTGCAATATGATCTTCTCTTGTCTTGAAGCATGTAGTCTTTGTGAGAGTGATTGGAGGATCTCTTATCCCCAGCGGGTCATTACCTGTCCAGTCAAAGATTCTTGTTTTCATGGTTGGAGTTTGAGACTTGACTCTTTTGGCCAATATCTGACACCCTTTTGCACCTGAGAAAGGGGGTGACTTCATTCTCATATTATTTTTCGGGACAACTGGTTGAGACACATTTAGATCTTCCTCCATCAGGAAGTGATCCACAAAGTGCAGTGCATCTGCCTGCGTTGATTCTCCCGGTTCCTGAGAATCCACAAAGTCCAGTCTTGACCCACGAAGAATGTATGTATCATCAATAACCCGCAAAGGATCATCTTCATCGCTACAGATTACCGCTCCGCAATCGGATCCTTTCTTCCCTACAATTTGAATAAAAGGTAAGATGAAACACAGTTAATGCCACAACAATGCATGCCCTTCACAGAAGACATCCATCATAACAGCACAAGACCAGTAATTCTCAGAGACGAAACCTCAGCGTAGACTCTATACTTGCCCGTATTGCAGTCATGATCATTTGAACCATCAGACTCCAAAATACCAACAGCTGTAGCACTCGTCTGCGCTAAACTCATTGAATGATCAGCAAAAGTCGATCTTCTCGTTCCACCTTCATCGTCTTCACTATCATTAACCACTTCTACATCAGACCCGAATATGCGTTCCAATGTACCATCCTCTGCACAATCTTCAGTATCGACAAGTCCAGTATGTTCACGGAGCTTGGCAAAAGGGTTCTCATGTAATGGGCTGTCAAGCACCATCTCATCATCAAATGGTACTGTATCTTGAAATTCCCGGCATCCCAAATCTTCATTAACCCCTGTTAATGAAGACGATAAAAAAAAAAGTGAATTTGATCGTCAGACAAAACCTCATTTTCCTATCACGGTGCATTCAATCAAAATCGGTTCCATAAATCATCATCTCTCCGAGCAACAAAACCTCGACCAGCACACGCACAACCACGCCAAAGATAACGATTAATCGCAAAAAGAAAGCATATGATTCGTATTCTCAAAACTTACTATATCCCGCAGAAGAAGAAGTAGAAGGGGAGGCGTGAACTTCGGTACCCATATGATCGACCATCGGGGCTCAATCTCATACGCCGTAAATAGCAATCGAGCCGGGGTAATACGATTTTTCCAGGAAGAGAGGTGGAGGCGTGCGTGGATTTCCAGGTAGGAACGGCTCCCAAAAGCAAAACCCTAGAATCTCCACTGAAGATAGTTTCGCTTGCAGGCAGATTGGCGGGAGGCAGTGAGAGGGAGAAAATGGCGATGGCATTTGAAAAGACGTCGAGGCTTTATTCATTTTTTTTATTTCCTTCTCACTGTTTTTTTAATCCTATCATGGGAATTTTGAATATTGTATAAACATATTATTAATATATATATATATATAAATATATAACCTCTCCGAGTTGTATGCATAACATTCTTGCAATTAAAATTCAATGCATTTAATGAAATTCAATATGCTTAAATTTCATCTCAAGGTGTTATAATTACATGGCTTTTTTTTTGTTATATGTGAATGTGTGGGGCTAAGTTAGCTTTCATTTTACATGTCTTTTTAGAGATATTTTATTTGTGAGCGATTCATAAAGATACGTTGACTATTAATATATAAAGATAGATAGATATGTTTTTTTTCTGTGTATGTAAATGCGTTTATTGGTAAAAGAGTGGGGCTGACTTTGACACAGGAATCTCATTTATTAAAATGGATAAAGTTGGTGATCAAAGCAGATTGTATTTTTTTTATTTTTTTTTTTTTGTATTTCCATTCAAGCATAACCAAATATACTTAATTTACCATTAAAAAAAAAGTATAACTAAAAAGAATTAAGTTACCGTCCGATAAATTAGCATTTAAATTATGTTAAGGAAGACACAATTATCACTATGTAGTTTTAAGAAAAAGGAGAAAAAAATGAAGGATATATTATAAAATAAAATAAAACAAAACAAACAGCAAGAAAGATCCAACTTCTCGCTGGAATTTGCATGAGATTGGTCCAATTACCCCCCCCCCCCCTTAGATTTTGTCCTTTTACGATCTCTCTCTCTCTCTCTCCCATGTCCGAGTCTCTCTAAATCTCTCTCTCTCTCTCTCTGGCATAAACTTGCAGAAACTGAACAAAGGAGCTACGAGCAAGGGGCATGTTGAGGATTGGATTCAGGTTCTTCTTCTTCTTCTCTCTCTATGTGTGTGTATATATATATATATATATTATTGTTGTTATATATATATGTGTGTGTGTGTGTGGATGTGGTGGTGGGTTATATATATATATATATGGTGATTGAGAGAACAGGAAGAATGGAAGAATATGGAGGAGATCATCGTTTTCATGGGGGCTTAGCAATGGACTCTCTTCCTCTTCCTCTGCATCTCCTCCAAGGCAAGTCTCTCCCACCAATAATTTTCAGACATCATTACCTTTCTCCTCTTTATTTGTCACCCTGTTTGGTTTGTTTGTCGGTTCCCTCTACCCACAAAAAAAAAGTTTTTTTTTTGAAGAATACTCTGCCCTTACGGTATCTACCCCTTTTCCCCAAATCAATTCCCCCACTTTTACATGATTTTTTTTTTTTTGGCTTTGGACGGCGCCCGTATTTATCCAGATCATGACTGTAATTATAATTGGATTATCGAATAGAACAACAGTTAAAGAAAAAAAAAAGTGACGGTGACTCGTGAGTGACTCAGTCCTGGTTTTTTCAACACGGTGAAGGAAGAAGCTGCAAGGCAAAGTGGCAGTGATAACGGGGGCAGCGAGCGGGATCGGCAGAGCAACTGCAGAAACGTTCATCAGCCACGGCGCAAGGGTTGTGATAGCTGATATCAGAACTCGACTCGGTCAAGAAACCACCCGAGAACTCGGTCCCGACGCATCTTTCTTCGCCTGCGACGTCACCCGAGAATCCGACGTCTCCGACGCCGTCGATTTCGCCGTATCCCGCCACGAGAAACTCGATGTCATGTTCAACAATGCCGGCATTCCCTGTCAATCCCCCCTCAGCATCGTCGATCTCGATCTCGCCCTCTTTGACAAGGTATTTCTCCATTGAAAATAGATCGATTAACTTCATTTTGGTTCGGTTCGGTATATAAAAATCGAACGGTACAAAATTAAGGATACCGAACGGTTCAGTTCGGTTTGGAAATTCCGTACGGTATTTGTAACTGGCGATAATTCGTTAACTAATTTCATCCATCATAAAATATAAATGATATAATTTCGTACACTCACCCAATATATTAAAATCAAGCCCTGATTATATTTAATTTGAACTAAACCGAATGAGTATATGAATTCCATAATTATTCACATAATGTCCATATTATAAGATGGAGATTGCATGTTTTCTATGACAGGTGATGAACACGAACGTAAGGGGAGTCATGGCGGGAATAAAGCATGCAGCTCGCGTGATGATCCCCGAAAGAAGCGGAACCATCATCTGCACCGGGAGTGTTACCGGCATTGTCGGAGGGCTCTCGCAGCACACTTACAGCGTGTCTAAATCCGCCGTCATCGGAGTCGTCCGATCGACAGCTTCCGAGCTCTGCAAGCACGGTATCCGAGTCAACTGCGTTTCCCCGTTCGCCATCGCAACTCCGTTCGTGATGGAGGAGATGAGGCAGATTTACCCCGGCCTCGACGACTCGGAGCTCGTTCGGATGGTTCAGGGCGCCGGGGTGTTGGACGGAGAGATCTGCGAGCCGAGTGATGTGGCTAACGCCGCACTCTACCTCGCTTCCGACGATTCCAAGTACGTGAATGGGCATAACCTGGTGGTGGATGGAGGGCTCACAGCCATGAGGACTTTGAATTTTCCCGCACCGCAATAACGGCTTCGGATTCATGTTTTGGATCCATTGTAATAGATGTTGGAATCTTCAGATGGGTTTTAGTTTCCGTTCTGAAAGAATTCAGTCTCAAAGCAGATTCATGTTCTGAAAGATCTAACTGTTACACAACATGCGCGAACGGAAACACTAAATGTTTCGACTATCAGACATTCCCTTTACACACACAACTAGCTCTTATAGTACAGTATTATCGAGTATAATCTTCTTGTTCAGATTCACAAGCTATGATCCTAGAAGCCCAGTTGCTGTCTTCTTCCAAGAAACCCTTCCTTGAGCTTCTTGAACTCAAATGGACCCCACAGTTGTCTCCATGGAGACGCTTCCTTCTGCTTCGCAGCTGCTGAAACACGTTTCTTGAGCTCCGAGTTCTCTTCTTTAAGAACTTCCACTGCCAAACTCAGCTGCCTTATCGCTTCCCTCTTCTCCTCATCCTTCTGCCTCATCAGTTCTTTCGAAACCCTGTTTTCGTCTCTCAGCCTCTCCACCTCTTCCTCCATCTTCGTCATCTCATCACCATCACTATCATCATCCTCATCATCCACACTGCTCTCGTCATCGGTCTCGCCCTCGCCATCGTCCACTTCGGACTGAGCATATTCCTCGATCTCAGATGCATACGACCAAGCCCCGTTCTTACAGGTCGATTTCTCGGGAGTCTCAGGAGCATGCACTGTCCAAGACGACTCCTCCTCCTCATCACCGGCTGGTTCTTTAGGAGTGTCGGGCGCGTGTGGTGATTTCTCAGGAGGAGGGTGTTTGTGCGGAGGCCTAGCCAGGTCGTACTTCTCAGCCAGCGAGCGATACGTGCGATAGAGATCCTCGACCCTGGAGATGAGCTCTGGTCGTCTCTTGTAGTACATCTCTGCCCGTTCCGCGAAGGAATCGGCATCTTCTTCTATCACCCTCAACATCGCCTTTGTCTTTGCATCAAGCTCTGCAATTTTCATCAATACAACGATAACGTCAAACTCAGGAGAGTTTCAGGACCCAATCGTTGAAAACGAATGACAAGATTTGCTTGCTGTACATGTTATTCATAAGTAATTTGCAACATAAATCTCGGTCTAAACACATACAAATCCAGACAAAAGACAAAAACTTTGACTTCAACCCGTAGATGATAAGCCATATGAAGACTAATGTTACCCTTGCAGTGATTTAGAGAGAGAGAGAGAGAGAGAGAGGTTTTCATCGTCAGAGGTACCTGAAAGAGTAGAGCGAAGCCATGGAGAGAGATCGGAGGTGTTGTGATTACCAATCCACCACCACTTTGATGTTCCATTCTCCATCTTCTTCTTCTTCTTCACCCAACACAGTATACGCAATTTATCAGTACTCATCCATTACAAAACCAGACGAAGAAACCCAAGGAAACACTAGAGATCGACTCAGAAAACTACCAAGCTTGTTCACGCGGAGTTTAAGCGGCCTCGTATCTCTCCTCCCCTCGCGTCGTCTTCGGTCTCTGTCTCCGTCCTCCTCCTGTTGTCGGCCTTCTTCTGAGGTTCAGAGCAGTTTTAAGGAGCCTCGGACTTGTTTAAGTAGAAGAAGCTCTTTTACTGTTGAGATTACAACAGAACCAATCGCATGTCGCCACGTGTCGACATCGCATGAAGCGGTGGATGAGGTGGCGGTATGATATTCCGCCTACATTCTCCTACTCGAAATTACATTTTCACCCCTCCAAATCCTATCTCCTACTCCTAGACTTGGAAGAAAATATAATATGTATGGATATTCACTGATTTACGAGATTCAATCATTCTAAAATAAATTTATTTCAAGAATACATTTATTGGTGGAAATCTATAGAGATATCCCTACCAGACCATGGTTTTATCATTTTCTTTACTTTTTTGGTTTAAATTATTTTACCATGGTTCTAAATATTTTAAAAACAAAGGGTAGTTTGGGAATAATACAAGCTTTTGACAGATACAACGTTAAAAAGTGGGTGGGCATCTCCAAGTGGGCGGCCTTCGGGAACGGAATTACGCAACGGTCGAGAAACTCCTCGGCGCACTTCCCACGCCCATCTTACTGACAAAAAATTGGTTCTATTTTATATATACAATTTTTATGTAATCATATAAAAATAACAACACAATCTGTTAATTTTGGTAAACATAAACATTTATTTTTATCTCATGTATTGTAGAGTATAAATACTGTAATATATGACAGTGCCATCCAGGTGATTAATATTTTTTTGTATCATTTTTTTGGACCGACCTACAAGAATTCAGCCTCATGTCATAATTGTAAGCCCACATTAGAAAAAGTCGGGCTTTTGGTATTTTATTGGTATTTACAATTAGCCCTGAAAGCCCAAGTGAATAAATGACAAAATACAATAAAAAGATATTTATTTGGTCTGTACCAAGGATTTGGGTTTCGCTATCCATAGGTCAGGTCTCCGTCTGGGCTTTTATAAGAACTCCAGTGAAATTTGGCCTTCACCAAACGAGGAGCCCTAGTTTGATCTCTCTACGTCCTCGGGACCTTGACTAGCTCTGTCGGTGGCACCGGCCCAGCCAATCTGAGTTTCCGATCCCCAATTAGGTTTCGCGATTTCTCTGCCCCTTTCTGATTTTAATCGGTCGAGCAGTGTTTCGAAGTTCTCTTTCCGGGTTTTTGTTGGGCGATTAGTCGAAAAGATGAAGGGAAGATATCAAAGAGACGAAGAGGACGTAGATGACACGAAGAGCGCCAAGTTCACGAAGATGCAGAAGAACATGAAGAGATTGGGAGGCGGCGGTCTCTCTCTTGAAACGTTCGCCAACTTGAAGTCGGCGAACGGTCGCTACAATCCTGCTTTGATCAGTACGATGTTCTTCTCTCATTCCAATTCCGAAAGATTTCTCTTTTTGATTTTTTTGAGGAATGATGATCCCTTTGTATCGGAATATAGCTACCGTGTTTTTGCTGTTTTTGGGTTTAGGTTTTAGAGTTGGGATTTAGGGATTCATGCAGGGTTCTATGGCTTCTGCCGCAAATAGGTTCTGTTGTGGACTTGGTATATTGTGGATTGCATTATTGGATTTGTTCTCATTGTCCAAACTTTTAAGCTGGATTTGTCCTGTACACTGAACCACCGACATTATGAGCTTGACCAAAGCGTTGGAACCTGCTAAAATAGCTTGAACGGAAACTTGCTCTCTACTCCATAACCGACCAGCACCAGGGATAGTAGAACTCCTTAGGTTAAAAAGATGGTTCTCATGATTATCCGAAGCTAGATGTTTTTATCAGCTTTTTGCATTCCTTTTGGGCAATGAATGGTGGAGCCAAACTATTTTGATGAAGAATGCGGCTCTTAAAGCTCTTCCCGTAATCGAATTCGTGTTCTTTTCCCCAACCTAACTGTGTTCCTTGTGCACATTGCCAGAGAAGCAAAAGGAATTCTACAAGAACGCTAAATATGTGAGCAAGTTTAAGAAGACGTTGAAGCAGCAAAATCCGGAAAATGACGCGTCCTCGTCTCGTCAAAGAGTCTTTGAGGTATCGCCTCGTTATAGTTAGTGGCAGTGACTTGACTTTATAAATTCATTGATCCCCTTTCCTGTTTGTTGGTCTGTCTTTTGTTCTCTTTCTGGTTCACTCAAAAGTCTTTGTGGCCTTGCTTTTGAGTTTGCTGCTGGTATCTGTCAAAGATATCCTTGTATATGCTGGCATCTACAGATGCGTTAACTTTTGTAGATCACGTAGAATTGTTTATCGGCATTGGCATACTAATGCGTACAAATTGTGTATGCATGTTTTCAGGGCAACAAAGAAGGCGGAGACAGGAGGGAGGTAGAGGTTGATGAGCAGAAGAGGAGATCGAAAAGCAAAGTCAGTTTGGAGGAGGTGTACAGAAAGAAACACGAGGAACTAGAGAAAGCGAGGACGGAGAGAGAAGCCATGATACAGGCAAAGAAGGAAGCGAGAGAAAAGGCCGAAGCACGGAGGAAAGAAGCGAAGGGGAAGATGCTGAAAAAGACCAGACATGGTCAGCCTCTCATGAAATACAGGATAGAGCATCTTCTTGAATCAATCAAGAACTCTTCCGAAAACCATTGAGACTGAAACAGAACCACATGACCAAGTCTCTGTCTCCCTGTCGATACAATGACGAAGATTTCAGCAGGACTTGTTTAAGTAGCACGGTGAAGGAAGAAGCTGCAAGGCAAAGTGGCAGTGATAACGGGGGCAGCGAGCGGGATCGGCAGAGCAACTGCAGAAACGTTCATCAGCCACGGCGCAAGGGTTGTGATAGCTGATATCAGAACTCGACTCGGTCAAGAAACCACCCGAGAACTCGGTCCCGACGCATCTTTCTTCGCCTGCGACGTCACCCGAGAATCCGACGTCTCCGACGCCGTCGATTTCGCCGTATCCCGCCACGAGAAACTCGATGTCATGTTCAACAATGCCGGCATTCCCTGTCAATCCCCCCTCAGCATCGTCGATCTCGATCTCGCCCTCTTTGACAAGGTATTTCTCCATTGAAAATAGATCGATTAACTTCATTTTGGTTCGGTTCGGTATATAAAAATCGAACGGTACAAAATTAAGGATACCGAACGGTTCAGTTCGGTTTGGAAATTCCGTAATGGGTTGGATTGGTATTAGTCTGGATACAGCAAAATCAGGAAGGAAGATGCATTTGCATGCCCTTTTGTGATCCGAGTTCTGGTTGTAGAAGAAGAAGCAATCCATTGTTGAAACTGGTAAATCGTTGTTATCTCCAGTTAATTGAGATGATACTACTAGGATTAACATTTGTAGCATCTGGTTAGTTTAAGTCTTCGGAACAAAAGATGTTCTGTCACTGTTTTCTAAGTCACTTGTCAAGATGTTCAGTTGTAAGATTCTTTTTTATGCTTGGCCTATATCTGACGGATACTGCAGTATGTCTCAGAAGGTTATTGGGAAATTTCAGAACTATTTTATAAAAATAAACAGCACATACTGCAATTTGGAAAGGCAAGAACAAAAACAAAGTATAGTAAGGTGGCTGGAGAAGCTATGGATTCTTGTGCAATGTCCAGACGAAATCAGGCATGTCCTCTCTCGGTCCAGCTACAGTTCTGTATATGTAAACCCTTTCTACTGGACAGCTCTCTGGTCTCGATTCTGGCGGTCCCCTTTCGTCGATGACCTCTACATTGAGCCTCGGCATCTTTTCGCTTAGGAGCTTGCATGCCCCGAAACTTACGGGGCATGATGACATCCAAAGGGATCGCATTGTTTCTAGTCTCTCTGCATTCTCCAAGATGGCCTCGTCGCCGAAGGGAGAGTCTCTGATCTCGAGCTTTCTCAAATTCTCGCAGCCTGACAACAAGTGTCGGAGCCCCATATCGCTCTCTCCAGCGAATGCTACCGATAGCATCTTGAGTTTTTTGGCGTGTCGTCCAATGTACTCGAAGGCCTTGTCCGTTAGGAGGCCCGAGACTGAGAGCCGCTGAAGATCTTTGCAGTGTTCGACTACGGCTCCGAATCCCTCGTCGAGCGGCTCAAGGGTTTGGTAATCAGGGGCAAATGGCTCCATTATGCAGAGGCGAAAGCACTTCAGATTTGGACGGTTTCGTGCTATGGTCACCATGGCCACATTGCTAAATTGGCGACAGAAGTAGAGAACAGATTCGAGATTCGGACAGCCGTCAGAGACAGAGACGAGGCCTTGTTCCGTCAGGTTTACATCTACTTCACCAGCATCCGGATCTGATGGAAACACCCTCAATTCTCGCATGTCCTTGCAGCATGATGCGACCGCTTCGAGGCCACTGTCTTCTATGAAGTCCAGCACCTGCACATATACATCTTTCAGTTGAAGATCCAAGACAATGGGACCAAAAACCTACAACATATGTCCAGATGTAGAACTCACCCATAGCTTCTGCAATTTCGGGCACTGACTAAGAAGCTTGACGAGATCATGACTGCGTATAGTGGCGTAGCTCAAGTTCAACGAAGTTAAACCAGATGAAACAGTGTAAAGAGCTGGAAGATAGTCAGGGATAACATCCCAAAGACCTGACAAGCATTTAAGGTCCTTACAACCCGAAAACGCTTCTGACAGGTCTGACAAGGCATGAGGTTGGAGCTCAGCAGAGAACGAGCCAGTGCCCAACTCAGTGAGTTGAGGTGCACGACGAAGTAACTCGTTGAGGTGGTCAAGAGACACGGCTCGGTTTAGGACAAGAGACTTGAGGTTGGGAGACCGAGCCACGAGACGTCTTAAATCTGAGGAACTGACTTCAGATTCAAGGCAAGAGAAGTTGAGAGAGACAAGTGAAGTGCATGTGTCGGGGAAATAGCTGAGCCAGTCTCCTCCAAGATCTTCCACTTCGCTCTCGCTCACGTCAAGCTCTGTCAGGTTACTGCATCAGAGAGACCAAAATCCATATCACTGCTTTTTCAGACAAGTTATATCAAGATCTATCATATGAAACACATTCGATATGGAAATCCGACAATCTTACAGTAGTTTCAAGTCAGTTCATCTGCCTTAAACTCTTAAGTTCATTTCAAATTCCTCTGCTTTCACAAGGAGAAACGGTGGAGTTTAACCAGGACGAGTCGGCTCACCTGCAGCTAGCGGCGATGGCGGCGAGTCCATCGGTTGTGAACCCTTCACACGACGAGAGGACGAGCACCTTGAAATCCCGAAACGACTCAGCGATCATCTCCAAGCACTCGTCGGTTACAACCATCCTCTTCATCCTGATCCCCTCCATCCACGGGTACGCCGCCGCGAACGCTGCGATCCACGGAAGCGCGTGGCCTCCCCAGCCATCGGGGACCAGATTGAAGTCGGCGAAGTGGGGCTTCCCCTTCAGAGACGCCGACCGGAGCTCCGGGAACCGCCGCGTCACAGCCGCGGGGCTCACGGCGTAGCAGTTTCCGACGAGGATCCGGCGCCTGCTCTGCCGCTCGATCTCGTACCACGACTTGCAGACGGCGGAGATGGCGTTGCGGTCCTCGCCGGAGCTAACGAAGGAGAAGATATGCTCGAGGATCTTGGCGGGAAACGAGGGACCCATCTCCATTGCTGGGAAACGATGAACAAGATCGAAGATTCGGAACGTCTATACGATTCAGAGAGGGAAGGTGAAAGAGTGATGAGCTATGAGCCGTGAAGCTTGCGTGTATATATAGCAATGGCGATGGAGACAGAGAGGAGACAAGGTCCATGTGGACATTAATGCGGTTGGACTTTCATCAGTTGAGTCCATGTGAGGTTATCCTCTTAATGTATTAATTAATTTTTAATAGCCTAATCTTTTGGTTAATTATATTTAGCAATTACTTAACAACCAAAGTGGTTGTGCAAAGTCCAATTTAAATGTTACATAGACAGAGATTTGAAACCATCAGTGGTTAGGAAAATATTGCAATCGAATAGAAAGTTACAAAATTCAAAATGATAAGAGATTTGAAAATGATAGGACAGAGAATTTCATATCAATGGGTCACATCTCATGTCGGACCAAAAATGAAAATTATTATACGATATAAGATAAGTCCATAGTTATGTGTCATCATCGCCTCACTGTTAAAACTCGCACGGATTCAGTGCTCGTAGCTTCACACGTGTCAGGTACCAAGCACGCCCAACGAGGCTAAGATGTGTCTGAAGCTCCTCTCGCATGGCGATTTCTCGCGGCCTTAGCCGAGACAGTTCCCAATAAGCTGTGTCGTTTTCACCGGTTAACGTCTCCTTTCTATCCAAATGTTGAAACGGCTTCAGCTGTCTTCTTCGTCTCTCCACCGCTTCGTCTCTCACACTGTCGCATTCGCTTCCGCGTCTTCCTTCCCTAGATATCGTGTCCGTACGCATTTTCCTTCGTTTTCTCGCCCTTTCTCTCCGATTCTCTCGAGACCCATTTCTTCTGCTAAGGTCTTAGCCATGGCGGAGGAGACCTCGTCTTCGACCTCATCCGGTTCTCATAAGCATACCAATCGTCTCGCCGCCGAACACAGCCCGTACCTTCTTCAGCATGCCCATAATCCGGTAATTGCTCTGTTTACTTTTGCGCTAAAGGATTGGTCTTTCTCAATTCTCTGTTTGGTTGAGGCAAAAACCCACCCCCCAGAGCAGAAACAAGTTATTCGGTTGATCATCTGAGTTAGGTTTTGTAATTCGGACTTTGGTAATCCGAAGCTGCAGAATTTAAATGTCATTATGCGATTATAGTCGAGTTTTGGCGTGATTGTAGCTTCAAGAACCGATTTTTTTAGCTTAAAGAATCGAATTTTTTGTGTGATCACAGTTGTTCCTGATTCGAATTCGTTTCATGGTTTGGCGAACAGGTTGATTGGTATCCGTGGGGGGAAGAAGCTTTCGCAGAAGCACGGAAGAGAGATGTGCCCATCTTCTTATCGAGTAGATAACTGCACTCTTGATCTTATGTCTCGAGTTTCCTTGACATTCCCTGAATCTTGGTACTAAGTTGCTTCGTCTTCCTTGTTGTGTTTTTGTGTGAAATCTTGAAGTTGGATACAGTACCTGTCACTGGTGAGGCTTCAACAACCTTCTGGATTTCCAGATTATGTTTACTTTACTGCCTGGAAACAAGGGTTTCAACCTGAAACCTAAAGTCTCTGAATCTGTCAGTATACATTCTAAATACATTTTGAAATGCCTTCCTTTGCTTATATAGTACATGAGAGGAAATCTCTTAGAAGTCTTGTAAATTTTAGGAATCCAATGTAGAGCAGAAAACTGCAGAAGAAGAGAGATGTTGAAGTGATAAATAGCATACATTTCAGTTTCATTCATGTAATGCCTTTGTTAGGTGCCACGTGATGGAGGTGGAATCTTTTGAAGATGAAGAAGTGGCGAAACTCTTAAATGGTTGGTTCGTCAGTATTAAGGTCGATCTGTTGTCATCTTTTCTTGTCAACCATGTTCTCTTGATATTACCGTCGAAGCATTTTTGTTTAACATATAAGTTCTGACAGGTGGATCGGGAAGAGAGGCCCGATGTTGACAAGGTAAAAGGTTTCTTCTTGCAATGAGATTTACCATTTGCGAGTGGTGTCTCGAACAAAGACTTGTGTTAGTGTGTTCTAGTTGTATCAGTTTCTTGAAATATGAATATTCACAATGATTGAGGGCTTACAGATTTGTTTTTTTCTTCGGCCCTATTCAGGTTTATATGTCATTCGTTCAGGCTCTGTATGGTGGTGGAGGGTGGCCAATGTCTGTCTTCCTTTCGCCCGATTTGAAGCCATTTATGGGTGGAACTTACTTTCACCCTGATGACAATTATGGAAGACCAGGGTTCAAGACTATCCTTAAGTAAGAACTTTTCTTATCTTGGTATCTAATGTCAGATCTTCCTGTCGGAAGGTGTATATAATCTAACATTAGCATCCTGTGGCTGATCCGGTATTGCTTCTATGTTTTACTTTGACTCTGGTTTCAGGAAGGTGAAAGATGCTTGGGACAATAGGAGGGATATGCTTGTGAAGAGCGGCACGTTTGCGCTCGATGAGCTGTCAAAAGCTTTATCTGCAAATGCTGAATCTGAGAAATTGCCTGATGGACTTTCTCAGACAGCTTTCCAGGAATGCGCTAAACAAGTACGGGTTTAACTCTGCTCTTTATAGAACGTATTAACAGAGAAAATAAACTGGGATATCTGGGTGAGATTGCATGGTTCATTTTTTGATTGGTACATGAATCTTTGTATATTTTCTACTTTTCCTTTTTTAGGAAAGTAGCAATTGTTAAGTTTTGTTTATACATCTGTCTTTCCTTTTTCTCCCTTCCAGCTCTCTAAGAGCTATGATTCAGAGTTTGGTGGGTTTGGATCAGCTCCAAAGTTCCCAAGACCTGTTGAGATCCAGCTGATGCTTTATCATTCTGAAAAGCTGGAGGGAGCTGGGAAAGCTAGCGAGGCAGGTGAATCCAAAGATATGGTTTTCTTTAGCTTGCAGAGAATGGCAAATGGAGGTATGCATGACCATATAGGAGGCGGCTTTCATAGATACAGCGTTGATGAGTGCTGGCATGGTGAGGTTTTACCTCTTTGCTCGTTGTCATTTGTATCCTCCGTGAATTATCAGCCGGGAAATAAATTTTTTGCTCCTTTCTGGGGGGTATTTTCACTTTTATTCGGCCTTTTTCTGGGTTGATTGTATATAGCGGATGAAAACATTTGAACTGGAGATTTCTCTTATTTTCTGGTGAAGTTCCACATTTTGAGAAGATGCTATACGATCAAGGACAACTGGCTAATGTCTACCTGGATGCGTTTTCCATCACCAAGGACGTTATGTATTCGTATGTATCCAGAGACATCCTTGATTACCTGAAGAGGGAAATGATCGGAACCGAAGGTGGAATTTTCTCGGCTGAGGATGCCGACAGCCTCGAGTTTGAAGGTGCAAAGCGAAAGAAAGAGGGGGCATTCTATATATGGACCAGCCAAGAGGTTGTTTCTTTGTTAGTTTGTTTCGTACAAAGCATTCATTTGTGTTTCCATCTGCTATCAAACGACATGTGTTTTTCTGATCCTGTTGTTTTATGTACTTTGTTTCAAGATTGATGACGTACTCGGGGAGAATGCAAGTCTTTTCAAGGAGCATTTCTACGTCAAGAAAATGGGTAATTGTGATCTCTCGAACAGGAGTGACCCACAAAATGAATTCAAGGGAAAGAATGTGCTGATTGAGAGAAATGACATGTCTGCCATGGCCCGAAAGTTCGGATTCTCGGTTGACAAGTACCCGGAGATTTTGGGTGAATGCAAAAGAAAGCTTTTCGATGCCAGGTCAAAGCGGTCTAGGCCGCATTTAGATGACAAGGTAATCCTTCTTTTAGAACAATACATTCATCTGGATACCTGATCTAAGTTTATATCTTCTACTGTTTCTTGCACATTATCCTTCGATTTTTATTTCTTCCAGGTAATTGTGTCGTGGAATGGTCTTGCGATTTCATCTCTTGCAAGGGCTTCCAAGATCCTCAAGGGTGAGCCGGAAAACACCAAATACTATTTTCCAGTTGTCGGTTGTCAGGTAATGAAGGATGCATGTCTTGCTGTCATAGCAATTCAGGTCTTTTACCATCAGTTTTTCCATCTGGCTTTGGTAAATTTTTCTGGCTTAGCTAACTTTCAGTTCTTGTCGATGAAACTAAATTCTGGTTCCAGCCCGAGGAGTACATAGAGGTTGCAGAGAAGGCGGCCTCCTTTATCAGAGGGTATCTCTACGACGGGCAGTCACGCAGGTTACAACGCAGTTACAGAAAGGGTCCTTCCAAAGCCCCGGGCTTCTTAGACGATTACGCTTTCCTGATCTCGGGTTTGCTTGATCTTTACGAGTGTGGGGGCGGGATCGAATGGCTTAGCTGGGCTATGGAACTTCAAGATATACAGGCAAGACCCATCTCCAAGCTATTTCTCCATAAAATGAGTTAAACCTGACTTGGAATTTCATCCTAGGATGAGTTGTTTCTCGACCAAGAAGGAGGTGGCTACTTCAATACTCCGGGGCATGACCCTTTGGTTATCCTTCGTGTGAAAGAGGATCATGATGGTGCAGAGCCTTCAGGGAATTCCGTTTCTGCCATTAACCTTGTGAGGTTTGCCTCCGTGGTCTCGGGGCAAAGATCTGACCGCTACAGGCAGACTGCAGAACGTCTCCTGGTTCTGTCTCAATCCCCTAATCTGAATTCGCTTTCTCGTTTTTGTTGAGAGAGCTTCATTCATGTTACAAAGCACCATCTCATGTCTAAATGTTCTGCAGGCGGTTTTCGAGGGGAGATTGAAAGAGATGGCAGTGGCAGTGCCATTGATGTGTTGTGCTGCTGACATGCTCTATGTCCCGGCGAGGAAGCAAGTCGTGTTGGTTGGTCGTAAGCCTTCCTCTGAACTCTGCAACATGCTTTCTGCAGTGCATTCAGTCTACGATCCAAATAAAACGGTATGAAACACGTGCTGCCTCTCTCTCTCTCTCTCTCGTAACACTTGAAAGAGGGTTTTATTTTCCGGGTTTTGTCCCTGAATGGCAGGTGATTCACATCGACCCTTCCAGTTCTGTGGACATGGAGTTCTGGGAAAAGCACAACATCAACATTGCAGACATTGCAAGGACCAACTATGCCGGTGGAGACAGAGCAGTGGCTCTTGTCTGCCAAAACTTCACTTGTAGCCCTCCCGTTTATGATCCAAATTCTCTCACGGAGCTTCTCGCCAAGTAAAACTGAAAGAAGCACTGGTTTCAAAGGTCATTGCAAGAAATTGCTTGCGGTGCAAGGAACAAGAGTGACGCATTAGCTTTGGTTAAGTCTTTACAAAGAAAAATGCTGAAAGAGGAAGCTGTAGCACCTTAGCTGTAGCTGTAGCTGTAGCTGTAGCTGTAGCTGTAGCTGTAGCTGTAGCTGTAGCTGTAGCTGGGAGAGAGGAGGTTCTCATGACGTGGTAAGATTACTGATACACTCAGATCATGCAAGCTTGGTTTCTGTTCTGACAATACCTGATACTGTCCTCATCATCATCAGTGGAAATCACAAAGAGAATCTATCCGTGTTTGGATAATCGTGTTCTTGTAAGCTGGTCTCTTTTACAAAACGCTACTCGTGAACCGGGTCATTGTCGGAAGGTCCGGTTTATTCCGCGAAACCGGACATTGGTCCGTATTCTGGTTCACAAGCGGCGTGAAGAAGAAGACAAGAGGGGAAAGTGATAAACAATGTCACATGTTACAAGGAAAAAAAACATGAGCGTTGGGGGACGTACATATGTATTGATATCATGGATTAGATATTTCATTTGCTGACGTCAGATCTTCATCCGGTTTCAGACATGAAAAAGAAACTCCCAGAAACCAAGGGAGAGGAGAGAGAGAGATTAGATATCTGACAAATGATGACAATCAATGTTTTCTGAGCAAAGGAGCCAAGTGGACAGCTGTATCCAATTCTGAAACTTGCTTAGCTGTAAATTATTATGGTCCTATTTTATTCCCATATCCTTTTTTACCATCCTTAGTCCCCACTGCTTTCCATGCATTTATCATCTCTTTCTCTCTCTCTCTCTCTCTCTCTCTCTCTCTATTCTTTTAAATGCTTAGATCTTTCTTTTTCATCTCTTCTCCATTATTGTTTTCTTTCTGACATTACCACTCAGATGATGCCCAAATACAAAGTTGCAAACTTTAAGACAGTAGCGTCTGATTCACATTTGTTGGATTAAACTTATATTGTTGTTGCTGTGTGGAGATTTGGAACCCGAGAACAGTCTAGATTTTTTAAATTTATACGAAAGAGATCTCAGATTGTGGACATAGGAGCATAAATTCTTGTCCTATTTTCTTGTACCAAGGATGCCCATCTTTCTCTCTCTCTCTCTCTCTGTGTGAGTGTGGGCCAGCTAAGGTTTAAAAGCGTAGGCACAGTAACGGCTACATTTCCCAATTATGTGTGTTCGATTTTGAAAGGGTGTGGGGATTTGTCCACTAATGCGTGTCCCGAATCACACGTCGAATCCAACGTGGCATTGGATGCCAGCTCATTCGCCTTTATATACACTACACTCCCTCACTGTTATCTTCAAGCTCGGCTTGTGTCTCATAGACAGTGAGTGAGAGTCTGTGTGTGTGTGTGAGAGAGAGAGAGAGAGAGAGAGAGAGAGAGTCTTGACGGAGTGTAGAGGGTATGGATTGGTTCTTGTGGATGATGTGTTTGGCAATGTGTGGAGTGGTTTCTGGGGCCAAGTTTGAAGATTTGTACCAACCCAGTTGGGCTACAGACCACGTCGTCTACGAAGGAGATGTCATCGGGCTCAGGCTCGACAACTTCTCCGGTACATGCTAAACCTTAGACCCCCTTTGTTCTTGTTCTTGTTCTTTCTCTCTCAGCTTTGAAATTCTTCTGGTGTTAGCAATGGAATGACTGATTAAAATGATTGATTTCAGGAGCTGGGTTTGAATCCAAAAGCAAGTACATGTTCGGCAAAGTCTCCATCCAGATAAAGCTCGTCGAGGGCGACTCTGCCGGCACTGTCACTGCTTTCTATGTAACCACTCCCTTTTTCCTCTGTTCTTAGATTCTTTGTCACATACCCAGATGGATTTTTGATTAATCTTGACTGTGATATTGTGACAGATGTCATCAGACGGTCCGAATCACAACGAGTTCGATTTCGAGTTCTTGGGGAACACCACTGGTGAACCCTACCTGTTACAGACCAACATTTACGTGAACGGTGTCGGGAACAGAGAGCAGAGGCTTGACCTCTGGTTCGATCCCACCACTGACTTCCACACCTATTCCATCCTCTGGAATCAACGCATTGTCGTGTAAGTTTCAGATAGAGTGCACTCACAATGTCTTGTTCTGCATGCCATTTCTTCCTCACGTTTTGAGTATTAACATGGAAATGAAACCAGATTCATGGTGGATGAAACCCCGATAAGAGTCCACAAGAATCTTGAAGACAAAGGGATTCCATTTGCAAAGGATCAAGCCATGGGAGTGTACAGCTCGATCTGGAACGCAGACGATTGGGCAACACAAGGCGGTCTGGTCAAGACAGACTGGAGTCACGCCCCTTTTGTCGCCTCCTACAAGGGCTTTGTGATCGATGCTTGCGAATGTCCAACCTCCAATGACCTTAGCAAATGCAGCAATGACAAGAGGTTCTGGTGGGACGAGCCCACATTGTCTGAACTCAGCCTTCACCAGAGTCATCAGCTCGTGTGGGTTCGAGCCAACCACATGGTTTATGACTACTGCTTCGATGCCACTCGGTTCCCGGTTACTCCTCTCGAGTGCCAACACCATCGCCATTTGTAGTATATAGCCTTTAATTGTCTTGTCTGAAGGAGAAACCCATCTGATAAAGAAACATGTACCTTCATGTTATGATGCTATTAGTTCAATTCTCCACGTTCTTTCTAACTATGCTTGTTTATATCTGATTGTTCTCGGAGACTAAAATGGTTCGGACAATTGAGATAAGATCAAATAGGATGATTTGAAGGCGTTCTTAAACCACCTGAAACTGAGCCTTGCCATGTTTCTGCTCAAACATGGGGATGGCCTTGAAACAGATGACTCATCGGTCTGGATGCCTCTGCAAAGATTCGACCTGGAGACAGATGAGTAGATGGGGTCTTTCAGGGCATCTTCCAGTGCAAATATCTCCCTCCATTGAAGTCGAAGCAGAAGCTCTCCCTCTCTCCTTATAGTCTCTCCAAATACGTTCAGTTTTGTTAGATAGCCAGCAGAATTTCCCTTCACTGCTCTTTCCTTTGCAATCTTCTGCCTATTCAGAATAAAATAATGATTCACTGAAAGCAGATGGCTCGGCTTGATCAAGCAGAAGAAGAATTCAATAGATTATTATCAAATTTCAACTCTGTGGTAAGTACAGTTCTCAGGCACAAAAAAAAAAAGAAAAAAAGAAAAAGAAAATGCTGCTATCTTCCATCTTCAAGAGTTATGGTAAGCTCATTATGGGAGCATGTTTCTGGCTTGCCAGATGAAGAAGCTCTGCTAGACGGGCAACGCCTAACTACAAAAGCTGGTGGTTTAGGGGTTGGAAGAGTAGCGGTTTCACTACCGAGCATGAAGACAACATTTGACATGGTTGGACGGTCACTAGGGTCTTCTTGTACACAAAGCAATCCTACATTGAGGCACTTCAAGAATTCCTCAGTCTTGCAAGTTTCCTGAAGAACCGAATCCAGCAACTCAAGCCCTCTCTCCTCCTTCCACAGATGCCATGCCTGCAAGTGATGATTTTTCTCATGCAAGTTTAGTATTGAGATGTGTATGAAGAGACAGCAGCAGCGAAAAGGAAATTCTCAGTTCACTTACATAGCCCAATAGGCTTAAAGATTTTTCGGGTTCATAGAATCCGGTGTTCCTCTTCCCACTGATAGTCTCGATCACAACCACACCAAAACTAAAGACGTCTGACTTAAACGAAAAAAGACCATCGAATGCGTACTCTGGAGACATGTATCCACTGCAATTCAGAAAATCTAAGATGTTTACCAGAATCCAATTTAGTTCATGCAGAAAAAAAAACATGCCTCAAGAACCTACAGGCTCCAGAAGAGTGAAGGAAGGAACTTACTAAGTTCCAACAACTCTGTTCGTATTTGCTGCTGTTTCTTTGCCTCCAAATATTCTAGCCAAGCCAAAGTCAGAGATCTTGGGGTTCATCTCCTCATCTAACAGAATGTTGCTGGTTTTCAGATCCCGGTGTATGATTCTCAGCCTAGAGTCTTGATGTAGATACAGAAGACCCCTTGCAATTCCAAGAACGATCTTGCAACGCATATCCCAGTCCAGCAGATTGCACAGCTTTCGATCTTGAAAGATCCAAACTTTTACATTAGGAAAGCACAAGAAAGATTTATTTTGAAAAAGGGCAGCGTTCCACTTACCGAATATGAAGAAGTCTAAGCTTTTGTTCGGCATGTATTCATATAGCAACATCTTTTCTTCCCCTGCAACACAGTATCCAAGAAGTCTGACAAGATTCCTGTGTTGTAGCTTAGCAATCAACACAACTTCATTCTTGAATTCCTCCATTCCTTGTCCAGAGCAGCTTGAAAGCCTCTTCACAGCAAGCTCCTGTCCTCCGGGAAGCTTGCCCTGGACAAAAACCGGTTACAAAAATTCTAACCTTCCTTTCAATTGTCAAACCAAAAGGGATCAAAATATGAATTTATAATTCACCTTGTAAACTGGGCCAAATCCCCCTTGGCCTAGCTTGTTTGCATTTGAGAAGTTAGCTGTTGCAGTTAGAATGGTATCAAAATCAAAGGATGGAACATCTAAGCCTTGTGTGTCATCCTGTTTGAACCGTCCAGAGTCAATCAAATCTTTGATGTGTTTCTCACTACCGTATAAGTTAACTGCTCTTTGGATACTTGTATTGTTTACTTCTGCAGGATTTGAAGAATGACATGTACCCGTTATTTGGATTCCAGCACAAAAAATAAGATAGAGAAGGTGCAGGACACATACAGAAGAGTATTTTACCTAGTTCCTTGTAAACTCTTCTTCTTTGCAAATATATGTAAGTGACAGTGCTTGACAGGACGACCAGAATGGCTACACTTGCAAATGTCACCGCAATGATCATAGACACAGGCATTTTATACTGCCCTTTTCCACCAGTTTGTCCTCCAAGAACAGAACAAGAAACTTCATTAATCAGACAGTACAACTCACATCCAATTTTAAAAAAACCATGAACATTTCTCTGTAATACAAGTTTTGAATTGGGTTTTGTCATTGTTACCTTGGGTACAGTTCAGATTGAATCCATCCCATTGGAAATCTGGATTGCAGAGACACCGCTTGTTCCCATCTCCCATTCCACTGCAAGAGGAGTTAGGCCAATCCCTACAGTCTGTAGAAGACAAGCAAGTTGGCTCGGGAGGAGGATCCCACTGTATCTCCACTTCAGTTCCACCTGTGACCATGTCTTCGTTGCAATGACCCGTTACATGAAAAGGCAAAGACGGGCTTAACTCCAAACTTCTTTCCATCTGAGTTCCAGCTCTGCAGTTAACTGCATCTTTTGTCTTGATGAAAAACCCGTGTGCATCAGGATTGATGGTTGTGACATTGTAGTAACGGCCTGATGCTTCGAAAATGACTTGGCCAGTTGAAATATTGCAGTGGAAACTAAGATATGTACTGTCGCCGCATTCAGGAGCTGTGCTAAGAGGATACGGAATCGTATTTGTGCCACATGCCTCACAATCTCTACTTGTCAACTCTGCAGAATTTATGGTGTATTAAGAAATGCCTTGAACGATGAGATTGATAAATATCACGTGATAAGTTCAAGACCAAAACAATATTACCTATATCAGGAACTGCCACACGGATGTATATGTTACGGCTACCTAAGTAACCCTCTTTGAGATTGTTGAGATCCTCTAGCCAAATCCAGCATGCAGCTCGGCCATTACTGTTGATTTGACGTGTATCAGCTCCTTCGTATGAGTAAGCTTCGCATTGGCAGTTGTTCAGGCACTCTGCTCTGCACTCTTGTTCATTGTGGGCATCGAATCTTGAGTCTGGACTTCCCACTTCCACCACACTCAGATTCAAGAACATGTCTCCGACGCCATCCTTACTGCAGATCCTTGATTCTCTGAAGCATCCATCAGAAAAGTCTCCCTTATTCCATTTTTCTGGGAAGCTTGGTCTGAATCCTGGCAAACATTTGCACATCTGCTCGTTCTTGCTATTACAGCTACCGAAATTCCCGCAAGCATTGTAGATGCTGCATTTATCTCTAGGTTCAGCCCAAATCTGTCCCCATATCCTTTCACCGTCTAACTTAAAGTATTGAGCTTGGCCGGATGAACTCATGATAAATCTTGTGTCGGTATACAGAGATATTGATAGAGGTGGCACGGAGGCATTGTGCACAGTTATCGTCTCTGTGAAATTGGAAAGAAAGTAGGAAATGGCGTAAGGCATCTCGTCCGACCCGATGAATTTACCTGACACTCCAGTTTTCCAGTATCTCAGTGATCTTTTCCAAATGATGAACTGCTTCTCCTCTTCTTGATCCATCTCGAAAGAAAAGTTGCCTGGTGCTGGATCGTCGTAACTTTTCCATGATGTTAATGTCATGTTCTCATCCATCTTCATCCCTGGAAGAAACGTGTCGGTAGGATTCTGGAAACTCTGCCAAAGCATTACCTTTGACTCATTAGCTTCATCATCTCCGTTCTTCAACACAAAGTTGCCATTGTCCATCAGCTGCGCCGTCCTCTGCTCAGAAACAGAAGAAGATTCAAGACTGGTGGCCCAATACACTCTTCCCTTTGAATCAGTGACCCTGAGATTTCCATCTTTCGCGATAGCGAGAAAGCCAGAGGAATCCAGAAGTGGCGTTTCACGGTTGGCGACCCATACAACAGTTAGTGGATTCAAACGGTAATACCATATGCCCACGTACCTCCTACCATCCGAGCTTCCATTAGGAGTAAAGAAGCCGAGCTCGAACTTCTGGCCAGCTGAAACAAGAGTGTCTCCATGGCTGTCATATATGAATGTATCGTTCAATGATGTTATGGTGTCTTCAGCAAAGCAATCTAACCGATAAACATCCAGGAAAAAGATGTAGAAGAAGACAGAGAGTAGCATCTCTCCAACAGACCGTATCACTCATCTGGTTTTTTCTGTCTTGTTCTTAAGGATTCAAAGGTGGCGAAAAGTTCACCACGTGATGACTTTCAACATCAAAGAATGCCCCACCTCGACCAAGAAAAAAAGAAGAAAAGTTGCTATGGGACGCAGCTAATCATGTTCCCAAGATTGGCATAAAAGAAGCTTCCAAGAAAGAGAGCAGAAAAAGACTCACTTGTCCATCTGAAGCAAATCAAGAAAAGCAGATACTCGCTATATGTCAATTTCAGCATAGATATATGCAAAGATCACACACCAATATAGACAGTTTCAGTTACAGATCTATAAACAGAGCACAAGTTATCATTTATTACTAAACAAAGATAGAGTGCAGTTGAAAAAGATAGGGAGGGTACCTACATGTGAATTATTGGGAAAGGGACAGTGGTAGTGGTGGGAATAAGAAGTCAAGGTCGTTGCCCACATTGGTGTTTTCGAAATAGAGTGGCTCTCCGTGGACCCTCCGCCATCTTTTTAACCAGCATTTCCGCATTCATTGAGAGATTCGAGGATTTGACATTTGACAGTGAAGGACTTTTGTCTTTGAAAATCTTCACCTTAAAAGTTCGTGTAAAGCAAAAACGACAACGCGTTTTAGGCAGCTTTACTCTTTGGTTAAACGAAAAGGGTTCGCCAGATACGATGCAAACTATGTCCATCTATTCTACTCTCAGACACAATTGTTATGCTCAATCACTTCCTCAAGCTACAGTCTTTTGAAGAATCTGACAAAAGCTCAGACTGGTTTCTCTAAACAAAATGGGCAAACCTCTTCCAAGTTCCTCGTCTTCCAAGAGTTCACTGCAAACTCAGACATACAAAGGAGCAATCAAGATGACTATGACAACGTAATCTTAAGGCATAATAACAAGGAACCATATAGCATACAACCAGAAAGCTCTCATCTTTTCCTAGAATCATGCATACAACATTAGATTTTGTTCAGCCAGACAAAGATAAGATGCAGTCGAGATGCGTGATCAGATTTTGATGCACTAAATGAGCAGCTTTCAGACACAATCAAGAACTTCTACCTCACGCTTGATGGACGGCGAAATTTGTCGATTTGGAGGTCGCTTATTCAGTACATACGTGCCCAAAGATTCAAATTTTACTTTGAGGGTCAAAACCTCATTCCCAGTCCGAGACACACCATTCACACCCTTCACAAGAGAGGAGCCAGAAGCTTCTGGTACCAGGATAATCATGGCGGAAAAGAGATCCCTTTCACCAGAACATAGAAAAAGATTCGACGAGACCCAGAAGAAAACAACGTGATACGCTTAAGAAGAAGAGGGAGGGAGCTTGAGAAGCCATGGCCATGGCAATTCCGCAGTGAGCAGCAACTTTGAAACCGAAGCCATGGCGGTACTTACGGTCCCAGAGAGGAGTCAGAGGACGACGACGATTCTCTTTCTTCTTGCATTCCAATCGGGCTAGAGGCCTAGAAATTGCGGGCTATAATAAGGCCCAATACAGACTAGTAATGGCCCATAATATGCATAGACGGGTTATTCCCACCAAGGGTCCGGTTTAATACCGACAAACCGGTCCGGTTCACAAGAATTTTTGCTAAAAGGACTTCCACATGGGAAAATCAGAGCCATTGACCATTTGGTCCATTTCCAGACACGTGTGGTAGGTTCAATTTGAACAAGACTTCGTTAGGGCAAGTAAAACGTGGATCCGCGCCTGTCTTTCGTTGTACAAATTTGATCCTTTGCAGCTGATTTCGGTGTTTCTCCTCCGAATCTCCGAGAATTCAATCTGGTTCTGCCCGCTGGTAAATTCTATTCCTCCCCTTTCCTTCGATCTACCAATTTTCGTTGTCGCGAGATTTCGCGTTTGTTTCTTGCGAGTTTACGCGAGTGCATCGTTTTCCGTGGTGTCTATCCCGGTTTCGTGTTGTCTGTGCCATTGGAATGTACCGTTTACGTGTAATAAGCAATTCGTATTGTCTGCGCCATTGGAATGCACCGCTGGTTATGGCGCCTCTTGTTTGATTGCTGATTAGATTTTGTCAGACAAACAATGTCGTTTGGCTTCGCACACTTTATGTGAATATAATTTGAGCGGCGTTTACCATAAAAGTTACAAGATTATCGACATCGTTTGTCCAATCCAGTTTCCCTCTCTTCCTCTGAGATTGTTTTTTTTTTTCCACAAAGTTTTGATTTTTCAGAAACTCGGGGTGTTCGGTGGTTTTGTTCGGTGGTTCTTTTCCATCAGGTGAGCAACTCGTCTGTATGTGGGAGGCTAGGTTTTCTTAAGTTTGAACAATCCTTCTTCACTCTGGCCGCTACCGCAAAGTCTGACTCTTCTCGCACCTCTGAGCGGGTGTGGGGTGGTCTCGAGGTGGTGAATTCACCGTGCCTTCCTAGGAAATCTGCATCATCGATAGTATGGAGGCTCCGTCGTGTTTCAGAGGGTCTGTCCATTGATTACGGCTAAGGTGATTTTTCAGCATATAACCTTAAAGCCGGAAAGAAACTTCTGTTTTCGCAAGCATAAACTCGATTCTGTTGTTTCTATTTTGCGGATGTTAACTAGAGGAAGAACATGTTCAGGTGAAGTTTTTCTGTTTAATCTTATCTGCTGTTCAGCTGGCCCCTGCTCTAGGATGTAGTAGTAGTTGTTAAATGAGACAAAAATGGTCAGGTTTTCATGTTTCAACACAGACGCCCATCAGCACAAATCTAAGGTGAGTAGTAGGGCCGCTGGTTCTTGTCGTTTATGACCTTTATTGTGCATTCTATAGATGATACTCCTTTTGTCCCACGAGAAGCTGTTAATAGCATTTTTTTACGGTGATGTAGAAAACCTTGGAGGCTTTCTCAGAACGAGTCAAAGAAGACGGATTTACTTCTAAAAGCTTGAGCTCTGTCATCTATGGGGGAAGCATCACTTCTGTTTATGGAAACAGCAAACCCACTGGTTTTAAAGATCGTGACTGGAAATCTGAGGACATTAAGACCAACATCAATCTTGAGCGTGATATTGAGATACATCAGGTAATGAATCTCATGAAAAGTCAGTCGCATGGGGATGTATTATACTTGGATGGGAGTGATGCCACAGAGAATGGTACAGATGATGGGGTAGACCGCATGACTTCTCCAGATTATCTTAAACGAAATTGTTTTGTAGCACCCGGCAGTAGCAAGCAAGTAGAAGGAAGCCCGTCTAGTCTATATCAGAAAGCTCCTCTAAATTCAGATCAAGCCGTCAATGGATCATTCTCTGTTGGTGATCCTCATCGTGCTGATAAAGACAACCATCAGTTGGAAGATTCATCTTTGTCTGGTGAACAAGCGGGTGATTCAAACAGCCATATGCCTCGCACATCACCAGCGATGGTGAGATCAAGTTCAACGCCTAATATTGCTGACTCCATACACGCATCAGGAAGAGCTTCTCTTTTCAAATATTCATCTGGTCACTTTAGATCTTCTGATGACCTACGTGTCCTAGACATGCATCACAGGGAGAAATCAGACCTTGAGACTGGTACAGAGGCGAGGCAAGAGCAAGGTCAGGATCATGGTATGCATAAATCCAGAGGTAACAGTGTGGAAAATTTCATGGACGATGGCTATGATACATATGGTTATTCTTCCTTGGCAAAAGATTGGATAGTACCAGCTACAGATGAGCTGAAATCAAGAGAACCCCATCAGGGAGAATCATCGAATCAACGACTAGAATTTCCAAGCAAGGATTTTAAAATCAAGCGCATTGAGGAGTGGGTTAATGACCTTCAACATGTCAGCTTGCCCGGTGAAGTGGATGAATCAACAGACTATGATGATGAGACATATAGGGAACAACACATTGCATTGAATGGGTCGACAGCTGCTAAGGTAGATCTCAAGTTAAATCCTGGAATGGAAGGCACAAAGAAATATATATCTTCTTTAAGTGCCTCTTCTACCACGGCACATCTGGTGAATCATGGCCTGGTCGTGATTCCATTCCTCAGTGCGTTTGTTGGCCTGAGGGTGCTTAATCTATCAGGAAATGCAGTAGGTTGTACTTCTCTCCTGATTTTATCCTCTGATTGTTTTTGTGTTTTGCTTAAATTGTCTTCTAATAATATAATCCCTCTTTATACTCGCTACAGTTAGGATCACTGCAGGTGCTCTTCCTCGGGGACTCCATGTACTGAATTTGTCCAAAAACAGTATAGCAACTATCGAGGGCCTACGTGAGCTCGCCCGGCTTCGCATACTAGACCTGAGCTACAACCGAATACTAAAGATTGGTCATGGTATGTCTTGCTCTGTTTTATCCTTTTTCTCTAGTCATCATACACTATAGTGTCTGAATCTGAAGTCGCAGTTTCTGGTGTCAACATAGGCCTGGCTTCTTGTTCCTCTCTGAAGGAACTATACCTAGCTGGGAACAAAATCAGTGAAGTAGAGGGCCTCCATCGTCTGTTAAAGCTAACTGTGTTGGATTTACGCTTCAACAAGATCTCGACGGCCAAAGGTCTAGGCCAGCTCGCTGCTAACTACAATTCACTTCAGGCCATAAGCTTGGAAGGTAACCCTGCCCAGAAGAACGTAGGAGACGAGCAACTGAAAAAGTACCTGTTGGGTATCCTCCCGAAATTGGCATACTTCAACCGGCAAGCCATTAAGGGTGCGTCGGACCGCCGCCGTGTTGGAGTGAGCAGCCATCAGTTAGAGCGAGGCCACAGATCAGAGCTCAAGAAGAGCAGCATGACGAGTAACCTCGGTGCAGCAAAAGGGCATAAGCCCTCATCATCCATGGCTGCTCGCAGGACTCAGGCTGGAGCTTCACAGAAGAGGTCCAGGGACAGAAGCAGCCGTCTTCCACCGGCCGGACTAAAAGGGTCTACTCCTGCTGCTGCTGCGTACGAGATTCATTACGCTGCGATTGAAAGTAGATTATCAAACCTCAGATCGGAACTCTCCATGCGAAGGAGCCGAAGTGAAGGGACTCTGGGAGCTTTCTGACTGAAGCCATGCCATATGAGAATGAGATCTTACCCTGTTGCCGGGATGGAATCTTGTGAGGCTATTCCTTCTCTCCTTGTCCGAGTTCATGTTGTGTTTTGTCTGCAATACATCTCCAAAAAACATTTAGAAGCATTGATTCATTGGCTTTGCCTCTTCTCAATAATATGTCTGAAAAACCATGTTGATGTCTTGATGAGTTAGTGTGATCTGACGTGGTCCACTGCGGCGCTTAGTGGATCTAGCTCCTGGTAGTTCGTCTTTGACGTGGCATAATGGTTGTTAATGGGCCTGGTTGGGTCCAGGCCCATTAGGTCTCTATCGGCCCATACATATGATTTAGAACAGAATTGGTCCGCAAAGTTGCAATATGGACTGAAAGAAGCATAAAGTAATGCAAGAAGAAGTGGTCCGATGTTGCATATCACAGAAGCAGAGATTCTGGCAAATTGGATCCATATGGTCTCAGGTGAGGAACGTTCATTATGAAAGTTGTAATACTTGTATTTCCTTTTGTGAACCATCAATAACTGAAACCCAAATTAATACTGATTGATTTCAGTAATTGCCAGTTGTATTACTATATATTAGAGTTACCACCAATGCTCATAAGCTTCTTCTTCTTCTTTTTTGAATGCAAGAACAATGTTATCTTACAAATGCAGAAACTACTAAGCGGCGATATTAAACACGATGACGGAACATAATGGTTGACAAGATCTGGGTTTCGAGTTTCTGTCTTGTTGTTTTCTTGTGCTGATCGTCCTCACTTTCTTGGATTGGTGGAGGGCAACTTGGTTGTTTTTTTTTTGAAGCAGAGACTAATGGAGAGAGACAGCAAGTGTCCCTGTCAATGGGACCAGTGGGGAATTCATGGCAAGTGTTGCATAACTGAAAATATGTCTGGATGGACCGCCCCTTGCTTTCTAACAACGGCCACTAGCCTTCCTCCGTTTCGGTGGAGAATCCAAAGTCGTGAAGCTCCTGTTGCTTTCAGAGCTCGAAAATCTCTGGTCAAGTACGTTTACTGCCGTATCTGCGCTTCCCTCGTTCTCCTCCTCGCTCTCTCTCTCTTGCATTGCGTTGTAGC